GAATACTAAGTCAAGGATGTTATTTTGTCTAGTTGGTTCCTTGACTAGTTGGGTTAGGCCATGATCATCAGTTATTGTAATCATCTTCTCATTAAGATCATTAGAATATTGAGAATTAGGCCTTATAGCTCCATTCTCCCAATCGATGTCTGGTAAGTTGAAGTCACCACATAGGAAGATGTTTTTCATATGTGTATTACCATTAGCATAAAGTTTATCGAGGGATGTTTGGAGCGAGTCCAAAGCACCAGTATCGTTGTTTGGTTGACGATAGAAGGATCCAAACAGTATATCCCCATTTGATAGAGATGCTTTGGACCATATGATTTCGCAATCAGCTGTCGCTTCATATTCGACTGATATGAAGTCACTTTTGACTGCGATAAGGACACCGCCAGCACCTTTCTTTCGGTCTTTCCTGTATGGAGGTGGGCTAAGGTAGTCTTGACCGAATATCCATTTGCTGTCGATGGTGTTGTCCAGGTGAGTCTCACAGCCTATGATGACATCTGGCTTGTGAGTTTCAATTAGTTGTTGAAGGTGTAGTTGCTTCTCATGACTAATTAGACTGCGGAAGTTGATAGACATGAGGCGAACCTGGTTTCGCCTTTTTCGTGCAGTCGGCCTCGGTGGTTCTGATTCGGTAGAATCAGATGATGATGACGAATTGTCAAGATCAGAGAGAGCGCTGAAGGAGTTTGTTACCGAGGAATGAGAAAGAGTGGAGTCATTGAAGAAGCTGTTGGAAAAATTAGGTAGGGCACATCCAGGACAGATCCAGGTGAAACTGCCCGCGTCAAGAAAAACATTGTACTCAGCAGGGGAAACATTGCCACATTTGATGTGTACCCATGTGCCGCATTCATCGCATTCAAGGGCTCGATGATTCTTGGCAACTGCTTTGTGGCACATACCGCAGGGAAATTTAACAGGACCTGGGTTTGGGTGGATGTCACCACTAAGAATAAGACATAGGAAGAGCAGTGGTGTGGAAGATTTCTTGTGAAAGATTCCACGAGAGCCAACAATCTTATGGAAACGTCGCAGTTGCATCAACTGTGTGTATGACTCTGTTGAAGGTAAGTGGTTTCCATGATCACAGAAAAATGACTGGACTGCGAAAACAAAGCAGAGAAGGAGCAATCCATATCCTTGGAAACCCATGACGAAGAGGTAGGTAAAACCCGTTAGCTGAAAATAAGAAAATTCGCGCAAAAATATGAAAAATTAAAAAACATTGTCTGTTGTCTCTGCACTGGCCTAGCGGCATACCACTAGATGCGTACACTCACAAACTACTGCGCCTCTGAGTAATCTAAAATTGTTAGTTGTACTCCATTGAGTACATCATGGACTTCAGATGAGTTAGCAGTCCAATATCATTTTTTTAAATTTTGGCATTATTTTTCAAAGGAGCACGTAGGTTATCGCAAACAATTTCAGAAGGTTATCTCTTGGATTGTGACTATTTTCTGACAATGAAGACAGCTTTATCTTTTAGATCAATTCATTATCTCAAAGAAAATTATATACAGAAGTAATAATAAAGTCAAACAAACTTGGACATATTTAACTGGCAAGCAACCCTTCAACACACGGTTTCAAAGATGTTGACCCCATTTTCACCAAAAATAGTTCTTGAAAGAAAAACTTAATTGCTTTAAGATAGTGTTCCCCATGTTATTTCTCCATTGAAAAATCCCATGCTATCCATTGGTTTCAGTTCATTTTGGTCATCCAAATTCAGTATCTTTAAAGTCCCTGGAGTAATCAACTTTTCCTTTTAGGAAATCGAACATGTCTCAAAGCATATTCTAATTATGCATTCAACAATATAATAAAAGGTTGGAGTTTTGGTGAAAATTCGCCTTTCCCTTCTCCTTCGGTTGTTTATAACTAGACTCGGCGCGCAGAGTATTAAGACATGGTAGAAACTAGTTTGCACTATGTGAAAAGAATTTAAGCCCAGGACTTAATACATTGTGGAATGACCATTCTTTTCAGTCGTTCTTTCCTAAAATTAACACTCGATGCTGCACATCTCGTGGAAAGCAATACCTTTAAGAATGTTCATTGCATGGCACTGAGTCCGCTTTAAATGGTGTGAGATATTATTGATGCATGGCGTCCATGATTTATCCCAGTAGCTCCACCCGGGTAGCTGCAATAATTGTCTGTGTCTGAGGCCTCAGGTCTGTGTTGACACACAGAGCATCACAGAGCTACTTGTTCTATTGCTGCCATCTTTTTATCGGCTTAAAAACTATGTAGGTTCTAACACGTATATCGGGTCATTTTTTAAACTTGATGTACACCCTGGGATGTACACGGTGGTGACGAAGACGTAACGCTAGAATGGTTCGAACTTGTAATATCACAAAAGGAAGACTAATTTTCCAAAAAAGTAAAGAGGTAGTTTTCTAAATTCAATATGCAATTGCTGTCTTTTGACTTTTCAAACCATAGTATGTTTCTAACTTCAGGTAGCCTGAGTCTCGAATGCTTTATTTTGTCAAAAAGTCTCATGTACATTTTTGTACAGGGCTTAGTATTTAATAATATGGTTTCTCAGTCCTACATGGAGGTGCAACAAGTATCATCCGATTATAACTTTGATCCTAATTTTTCACAAATCAGAAAACCATAATCTTGTATCCATATTTCACGCATTGATCGGGATATGAATTCTGAAAGGATGAAGTGTTCATTCTTATATTCTTGGCGTTTTTAAAGGTATGACTCGTTTTGGGGAACTAAAATTCCAAAATATGTGAATAGTTATGTATTATTCACAAAAATAATGCCATTTTTATAAAAAGCAAAGACAATTTATTAAGTAACAAAACGTGTTAACACCATTACAATTTAAAAGCATCTTCGCACGCTCTCGGTCGACTTCGCTGCGTTCATCCACGAGAGCCGAGTGAACGAAGGTGATTACAAGACACTTCCAAAGCATTTATTTCTTCACGTCTAGAGCGTTTACTCCACGATTTCAAATCGTTTACCTGGTGAATGTAAGACATTTTAGTATTTATTTATAATATAAAAAATGAATGTTTTCTGACCCACCCTGACTGTGTATATAAATTTTATATACGCAGGGTGGGACAGAAAACATTCATATCTTTATTTGGAAATAAATGTTTTATTAATGCATATATTTTAATATTTTTTATAGAGATGCAAGAATCACTTTTGCAATTGTTCATCAAACTTATCATACGCATAAGGTTCTGTTTCACCATAACCATGCTTTGATATTTTGAGGCATATTCTATGGTCTGAGCTCATCTATCTGATGGGATATGCATGAATAAAGTCCCATGTTAAGTCAACCGCTAAGGCCTCTAAGTAAAAAGTTTGGTTTCCTCTATTACAAACTAAAATATACAAAAGTTAAAACGTGCATAGGTGTTTCTATTAACATATACTGTTTCATGATATGGTCCTTTGATTGCTTATTTTTTAAATTCAAAGTAGTTACTAACATTTAAAATGTTACTGAAGAAAGCCCATGCCTATACTTATATATCATTGAATGATTCTAAATGAAACTAGAAAATTGATTCCAACACAATTCTTCATTCAAAATCATGAAAGTCATCATTATGAGATTGAGAACGTAAGGATATACATCAATAGAATCAATATGAATGGTGATGCATGCGATGAGAAAATGTGCGCTATCGAAACTACCTCAACAGACGAGGTGGCCGAGTGGTTAAGGCGATGGACTGCTAATCCATTGTGCTCTGCACGCGTGGGTTCGAATCCCATCCTCGTCGACTAGTTTTTTATTTTTACAAACTATTATGGCAAGCCAATATGCAGGTAGGTGTCAAGGAAATGGGCCCTTAGCATGCTACCGTAATGAAACTTTGTCAACTTTTGCATAGACGCCTGTACTCATTAGGTATCTTCGCCATATGACTCCTGATTCAGTCAAAACCTTGTCTACTTTCAAAATGGTCGCCATTTTTGTTGAAAGAAATCCACTTTTTATCTCTGCCTGTCAACAAGTGGCACACTTTGAAACCTCTTTACGGTAGGATTCCTGTTTTAGTTATTTTTGTACAACATCAATATAGAACCCCTCCCCCTATGACTCCCAGGTCAAAGCTTGCCTATTTTCAAATTGGCTGCCATTTTTGTCGTTCAATTTTGTAAAAAAGATCGGTAAAAAGGCAGGATCTGCTTTTTTATTTTTGGATTTTATATCCTAAAATGGCTTGTCTATGATGTCTTGTCTACAGGTTTCAAGCCAAACCATTGATGGATCGATCTGAAATTTTTAGGGATGTTTCCTGGCATAAAACTTTACAAATTAATAATTTTGGGCCATTTTGGGTATTCTATCCCAAAATTGTATCTGTTAAGTCTACACGTTTTGAGCCAAACGATTTCACTGATTAATCTGAAACTTTCAGGGATTTCTTGACATAAAAGTCTACAAATGCTTAGGTCTTTGGACATTCTGGATAATTTTTAGGTTGCGTTTGTGTCTTCTTATCCAGACGAGTAAAGTGACAACTCCATGTGGGTCCAGTACCCACGGTACTATTTGTTCGCTTACCAGTTCGTTACAGTGTTATGTTAGTGGTCAAGTATGTTTGATTCACTCATAAATTATTGGTGTATTTTATCATATTCACCTCTCATCCCTTGCTACCAGACAATCTGGTGAGACTCCCCTGAATAGGGGACTCAGTGAGAAATCACGAGCAGGATGATTCAAAGATGTCGCTGACAGTAAATATATTTTACAAGCAAGTAATAGGCCTATTATTCAAGTTCTCATATCTTGTCAAGTCAATGTTTCTCCATTTGAAATATTTGAAAGGCTAGAATCATCCTTGTGAATAGATTGCTTTGTATAGTAGTAGTATATTCCATTGACTGGAAACCATACAAACCAAGAGCTGTCATAGAACGATGATGGATGACTCCATGCCCCTCCCCCTCACTAACTAGGCTCAGCTCATTATTACTAAACATGTTATCAACACACCCGGATCGCTTTAATGTTTAATTTACTGCCAGTGATTATTAGGGATATCATCTCAGTGGCATTGCGGTCTACAGACGTCTGTGTTGCCTTCAGGACTTGATCATGCTGCAGGGGACTCGGTTCACGACAGGGCTATTACCCCCAACTTTAATACCAACTACAGGAGAGGTAGTGCAAGTACCCGGGCCATATGGAGGATATGTCTTCAGTCAAATGGCTTCACAACAACCAACGAACTATATGCAGTCTAACTTAGTCAGATTCCCAATGTGGCCCACGGAACAAATAGGATTACGGAACCCAAGTGGAAAGAAAGTAACAGTTACACCATTACCAGGACCTTTGATTCCAACCGGGGCTTTAATCAGACAAACTTTACCAGGACAAGAGATCCAAAATTGCAACAAATCTGTATATAACCCATATGAAATTGACAGGAATACAGAAAATGCAAAACCAGATGACCAAGAGGGTAAAGACAGTCAGGAAGAAACGATTGGACCTGAAGAAGATGATCAAAACAAAGCAGTTGAAGATGAACACACTACAGGTACTTCTAATTGCCCAGATACAAAAGTAATTGAAGTTTTCAATTTCATATAAAGCAACTACAAATAGAATCAACTATACTGTAGAATACTTCATGGAAAACGAGGCTAAATAAAATATTCATACTGGAGGTAGAATGTAAGCAATTAAAGATAAAAATTCGATTAATTACTTTTTCTACATAAAATCCTCTCGTAGTCTTGAAATATAAGAGTCGATGAAACGGTGAGTGAGTATGAATTTCAAATTTCAGACTCTTGAGAGTTCCCTTACAATTAGTAATGTGTATATATGTATACCATGGCTTGTCATTGATACGTTACGTTGCCATGGTAACTAATTGAAATTCGGTGATGAAACTGCGTATCCATGTCAGAGTTGGTGACAGACATAGAGTTAATTGTCAATTTGAAACATATATTCCCAATTACGAGATCTCTTCAACCCTAACGTATATCATTAATATTACTCTAGGATATGTTTCATATGCATCTAAAATGATACTTTTTAGTTATCCCAAACAAAATCCCTATTAACATGAAAAATTCAAAACTGCTGAATTTATTCATTCTTTTCAGGACATCGTTGTCTTGCGGTAAATGTGTGTTTTATGTCAACTTAAAACGGAACTTTTAATATGACCCTATTCCATTTCTATTTACCGACTTTGTTTTGTTTAATGACAATCGTGAGGTACATGATCTGTATATTATCTGTCAATATCAGGTCTTCATGTGGCGCACCGACCAACGTTAGATATATGACACCAGCCAAATAATTGCCACGTACTGTATATAGTACACCATTTTTATTTTGTTTTGTATAAAGTCAGGCCCGTAAGACACTTTTCTCCAAGGGGGGTGCGGTTTTAACTAAAGAGAAAATAAAATTGTCAATTTTTTGACGCGTAAACCAAATTGCGTGAGTCAAGGGGGGGGGGGGGTCGGTTACTCCCTATATTTTGTAGTATTTTATTGTTTTCGTATTGTTTTTAGATTAAATATTGTATGTCCAAGCCCGAGAACTTTTACCAGTTCAAGATCACATTCAGTGATTTCTGGATCCTTTCAAGGTGTTTTAATTGAAATAGAATCTATTTATAAGAAATTCAGATTTTTTCAATCATTTTCATCTAAGGGGGCAGTAAGGAAAATTTTACAAATTCAAGATGCTGTCTGGTTAATTCTGAGCACTTTTAATGTGTTTGAGTAAATTAATGCTTTAGTTTTTGGGGTGGGCTGCCAGAAATTTTTATGTTTTTATGATTTCATTATGTCACTTGGTGACTTCTAGGCACTTTTAAAGTGTTTAAAATTAACGAACGCAACTTCCAAACTTGTGAGGAGTGATCCACTCACCCTAAAACATTTTACACTTTTGAGATGTCATTTGGTGCTTTCTGGACACTTAAAGTGAATGAGTTAATAAGAAAATGTGAATTTTTTTTCAAATTCTTTTTGTCAAAGAGAATGAGAGGGTGAAGTGGGGTGGAGTGCCAGATCAGAGGGGGAGCAAGGGGTTGTCCCCAAGAAACAATGACCATATCAAGGTGCCATTTGATGATGTCTGGGCACTTCAAAAATGTCTGAGACAATACAGGAAATTCAGAATTTTCTCAATAGTTTTGTGGGGGATGTGAGGGGTGGCCAACTCTTCTAGAAATTCTTACAATTTTAAGATGATATTTGGTGCTTCTGGGCACTTTTAAAGTGTATGAGTCAATCGAAAAAAATTGAAAAAAAATTACATTTTTTTCAATTTTTGGGGGTGTCAAAGGGGGATGCAAGAGAGGGAGGTGGGATTAGGGTGCAAGAGGGGAAGCAAGTGTTTGTCCCCCATATCTGTCCCCAGAAACATTGACCATCAAGGTGCTATTTGATGAAGTCTGGGCACTTTAAAAGTGTCTGAGACAATGCATGAAATAAATTCAGAATTTTTGTCAATTGTTTTGGTGGGGGATGTGAGGGGTGGCCTACTTCCCTGGAAAATTTTACAATTTTAAGATGCTATTTGGTGCTTTCTGGGCACTTTCGAATCGTATGACTCAATAAAAAATTTGAAAAAATCACAATATTTTGGGGATGTCAAAGGGGGAGGGGTGCCAGAGGGGGAGGTGGGGTGGGGATGCAAAAGTGCGAGTAAGTGTTTGTCTCCCAGAATCATTGACTATATCAAGGAGCTATTTGATGATGTCTGGACACTTTACATGTGTCTGAGATGATACCTAAAATAAATTCAGAACTTTTCAATTGTTTTGTTTTGGGTGTGAGGGGTGGTCTACTCCCCCTAGAAAATTTTACAATTTAAAACGCTATATAGTGCTCTCTGGGCACTTTCAAAGTGTATGAGTCAATTAAAAAATTGAGAAAATCACAATTCTTTTCAATTTTTGGAGGGGTGTCAAGGGGGGCGAGGGTGCCAGAGGGGGAGGTGGGGTGGGATGGGGATCCCGATGGAGAGCAAGTGTTAGTCCCCCAGAAACATTGACTATATCAAGGACCTATGTGATGATGTCTGGGCACTTGGGCATTTTAAAAGTGTCTCAGACAATACATAAAATAAATTCAGAACTTTTCCATTGTATTGAGGGGGTGTGAGGGGTGGCCCACTCTAGAAAATTTTACAATTTTAAGATGCTATTTGATGCTTTCTGGGCACTTTAAAAGTGTATGAGATGATGAAAAAAAATTACAAAAAAATAAAATTTCAAATTTTTTTTTTACATTTTTTAAATTTTTTTTGGGGGTGTCAAAGGGGGGTGCGGTCGCACCCATCGCACCCCCCCATCTGACGGGCCTGTAAAGTGAATGAAATATTAAAGTTTCATTTAAAATTAAATAATATACTTGAGTAATAAGATCAATCATTGTCAGACAGGGATTTTTTGTTACTTATTTTATCCACCTCAGAATATTTTGTTTAAAAACCGAATTTCGAGGCGAATAACGATCCCTCTAAGATCAACTACACATTTCTGGGTAACCAAATCATTGGGTTGGATGTAAAAACAAACAAAATGAAAAATGACGCTGTGATGAAACATGTGTTCACTTTCGATTGTGGTGTGAATAACAAAATAGAGCTAGTAGATATAGCAAGTAAGTCAGTGAATAAATCAGAAACCACGAAGAGAAAAATTGGGAAGATAGACGCGAGGCCGTCATGAAATAACATGAAACAATATTTATCCCATGTGATGCTCATATTGACCATGTTGACTCGCAATTCAATACAACCCAAAACAAAATACAAGTGTGTTATACGAGTTCTTCAAGGCAGAATCAAAGGTAGAGAGTGACGACATTCAAAAATAATGTCGTGTTGATACACACAAATTAAATGTTGAAATTTTTAAGTTTTCATGGAATATTAGGTGTGAATTTTGGGGATGTAAGAAATCAAAAGGAGTGATTATGATTATATTTTTTTATTCTAAAATTGAAACTTTTTAGACAGTTTGCTGGCCTGATCTGAGACACGTTATGTATAAGAAAATGTTCGAAAATGGTCATATTTTATAATGAGGAGTGGCTTAAATGTCGATTTTGTCAAACTCGTATTCCATCCCACATGTGACACCTAGTTCTCAACTAGTTCTCAAATCGTCCTATCATATCCACGCCCGTAAAACGGACAAAATGAGTGAGTGGTACGATTTCTGCAAGAAAAAATATTTTTACTAAAGTTCAATCGCAAAATGAATAGGTGCATGGTATGGTCAAATAGTGTCAAATCTGTCTTCTATGATTTCTCTTCTTCTAAGTTGTGGCACGAAACCTCCCAATATACGATGCTAGTTCGCACGTTCATAAAATCTTCTATTCTGTACATGAACCTACTAAAAACGAGTAGATCTATTTTGATATCCTATTATGAACTTTTATTAGACCCCATCAAAATATTCATGTCGACCAACCCTACATTCACACCGAGCTAGTTTTCACTACGTTCTCGAAAACTAAGAACGAATTGGACGTACTTAGAACCGTTTGAGGTGTAGTTACAAACTTCGTGTAGGTCTTCCAGAACTTAGACCATGCTCAAAGTTTTCTAATTGTCGTCACGTTCTGCAATCAGAAAGAATGACAACGTAATTAACTCTTAGACGAACTGGACGTAAGACTATACTATAAACGAAACTGTCAATTAGGTTAATGATTCGATAACATATTGGGACGTATTGAGAACGAGGTAGAACTAATTTGCAACGGGTTTAAACTAATTGAGGACGTATTAAAGACTGCGTATGAGCGAAAAAATAGCTATCACACCAAACTACTGCGTTCTTGATCTTGAGTGCGAATGGAATGAACGTAGCTGCAACTTTCTACGGTCTATCTACGGACTTTATGCACGTGCTCGGACGAGGTGCGCGTTAACGACGGTGTGCAATCGAATATCAGTGGCAACAAGTAAGCTTATGCACACCGACATGGTGCAACCTTAACGAAATAAACTGCGAATGAGATGAACGTGTTGAAGACTGTTTATGAACGAATACTAGTAGTCTAGAAGTAGCTAATTATCTTAGACATAGTACCCGACCACAGCCACATTTAGCCAGTTTCTGTAGCTATGGAAAGAACGGTTAAGAACTAGCCTAGTTTGGTGTGATGGGGGGAGGGTTAGAACAAGAAGTCCATGAAGTTAATAAAAATACCGAAATTTTTACGTCCAATTCGTTCGCATACGTTAAAAAAGTCAAGGACGTAGTGAGAACATTGTTCCTTGGGAGACAATGGCCGCTAGAATATTTTGTGAATTTTGGAGCACCTTCCCGTCAGAGCACGTCCATGCAATTCGTATACGACCGTATTAAAAGAAACAAGGAAACATATGAATTCTCTCTTTAACAACATTATTATTATTTTTTAGAATCTTCAAGTTACCCACAAGAACCTGCTAGTTCAGCAACGGGCATCGCAGGTGACGATACAATTACGTCTCCGCGAAACAGTTCCCAGCATGTCTCATTCAATCCATCTGTCCTCGATACGCGGGTCCCCCACGGTCAAATGGACGTAGATGATGAACCGGAGGACTATGATGACGATGACGCCAAAGTAGATAGTAAATCTAGGAGAAAAAGGACTGCATTTTCCAGTGAACAACTCATGGAATTAGAAAACGAATTCCAATACAAGAAGTACCTTTCTCTACAAGAACGTTGCCATTTGGCTAAGACACTAAAACTCAGCGAGGTGCAGGTAAAAATCTGGTTCCAAAACAGGAGAGCAAAATGGAAGAGGGTTAAAGCCGGAAGTTCACAAAATAGAGCGCCATCTTTACCACAGAGGAATGGCAACACTCCGCAGACGACCAATTGTAACAAACCTAAGATAATTGTTCCAATACCCGTCCATGCTAACAGAATGACAGCAAGAAATGCTAAATTATTTTAGAAACGTGTCTACTTGGAATAATTTGGACATTTTATAAACGACATTCTAGTTGAAAGCCCATGATTGCACCATGGGTTTTCAACTATCTAATTGAAAGCCCATGATTGCACACACTCCCCTCCAAACATTTGGCAATTCCGACTTTCTAATGAATAGCGGTTTTAAAGCTAATGATTTGTAATTTTTTCCTCAATTACGAGGGGTGATCCAAAAGTCTTGGACGCCCCGCTCTAACTTTGCTATTTTTTAATATAATTACATGAAACTTTCAGATAATAAAGATCAACATCTTAACAACTTTGTGTATAAGTTTCAACAGAAAATAATATATTTTAGCTACTTTTCTAAATCTTTATGATACCGGGTCCTTGCTACCCGGAACGGTATTTCTATATAGAAAATCATGTCACAACTGTTATAATATGGCAAATACTTTAGGTGCAGGTGCACAACCTAACACCAGTCATGATATGAGAGAATTTCCGATTTTCAGTCTGAGTGTCATCTGCCATCATCATCTTCACATATTAAGACCTACTTTTCAACATATTTTCAACGAATTTGAACACATTTTTCAAACCGCTTTACCGATGATTGAAAGACATTTATGAAACCGCCATTGCTTATGTGATACAAATGCTGCTGGAGTGCCACTCTGAGCCTCATCCAATGAGTAAAAAACATTTTCTTTCAACCCTCCTTTCAACTTGGAGAAAAGAAAGAAAATCACACTGAGCCGTATCTAGACTGTATCATGCCTATGGTAGTTGCTCAAGGTCAATAATAGTGAAAATATATTGTATTATTCTTTGTTTCACTTTGATTTTTTCTTTCATGTTCTGCATTTCAGCCATCTTGGAGCGAAAATGATACCAGAATGAGGGTTGATTGTCTGTTGTCGTTTTCTTAGAACTTGATATATATGGCCATTGTCATATGTGGCATTATGATTAAAACACAATTAATTGGTTGCCTAGTAACAAAGGAAGTAACCTAACATGGTCTAACATTCAAAATTTAAGGAAAGATAGTGGTTACGACTTGCAAAACAAGTCAAATAGCGGCAACATTTAAGGCTGAAAGTTGCCATGTGCGAATACCGTTCCGGGTGGCAGGGTCACTATATTAATATCTATCGAGAAAACTACATAAAATATATCATTTCACCATGAAATTAATACACAAAATAGTTAGGTTGTTGGTCTTTATTATTAGAAAGTTTAAAGTAATTTTATCAAAAACCCCAAAAATTAGAGCAGGGCGTCCAAGAATTTTGGATCACCCCTCGTACAATAGCAAGGTGCATTTTCGAAAATCGCAAAACTTTCTGAGGGTTGGTTGTTGTCCTTTTGGTTAATATGAAAATTTGCCTGATGTAATTCCTCATTTACTTCCAACGTTGACTGTGTTCCAGATGATGGAACTGTGAATTTTTCAAAGTCAGGTGGTTTCGTATTTTAACACTCATTATCCGACACGTTTTTACAATATACATAAACTCATCTTTATTGACAATTCAAATCCCATAGATTTCTCTTCGAGAAATTGATGTGTTTACGTCGAACTAGATTGGGGTTCAAACTTGAAAAAATCACGACATTCTTGATTGTAGGTTATGTCGAATTTTCGGTACTTTTTCCATAATGAATTTGGACAGACTGTATTCATACACTTCGACATATGATCAAGATATCTCAGTTTATTTTCTGAAAATATTTAGGAAAGGGAAGCAGTACCACGATTCTTCTTGACTAGTTCCAACATTTCACCATCGCCATCTCTTTTCTTCCTTTTAGTGCACGTGGAAATTGAAATTATGATGTAAATGCAACAAAATACAAAATGCGTCTCGTTGCATTTATCATGCAATGTGTATAATTATTATTGTTAGTACCTCAGTGTAAATACTCGCATCTGATTGGTCAATTAGCGGTCAACATTTTTGCCTGTACCTCACCTGTGCATCATGGGATATCATATTATTGACCGCTTATGTTACTGTAGCTTACTACACTTGCAAGGAGGATTGGAAGCCAGGGTTCCAACTCAATATTCTTTAATCTCCACGCATGCGTCATTTGCTATTCGTGTCTGTATAATTTGTACAACTGCATGGAGAATGACCCGATACTCTCCAACAAAGCTATCGCTAGGTGATTGTTTTGCAGAATATCGGTGTTGCATTCTGGGAGCCAATCCTCCTTGCTACACTTGTGAATTATGGGGAATATGACGTCATAATGTTTACAGTAGACGGACATTTCATAAACGTTGATGAAAGTGATATTCTGACTTTGCTAGACGACAAGTATAGCAAAAATACAAAAAGAAACGAAAAATTAACATTAATTTACTAGTGAGTACGCAGTTATGTGCCAACAACAGAGAGTTTAACTACCACTGTCTTCAAAATTATTGCTGGCGTGGTTCGGAGAAAAGATTGTGAAATGAAGCCATGATTGATGACTGTCGTCTATATGTGTATTATAAGTTTCTTCTGACTAACAAAACAATTGTAGACCTCTCCATTCGGTCAACCGTCAAAATCATATACCTCGACTGTAAACCTTGAAACTACTGTTGACCTCGACCTTCGGTCTCTGTCAACAGTAGTTTCTCGGTTTACAGTCTCGGTATACAATTTTGCCGGTTGACCTCTGGAGAGGTCAACAATTGTAAGCCTATACTGTAACTATGTAAAATATTATTAAGCACTTTATAAAATGATAAAATAAACATTTTATTAGTAGAATACAACTTGTTCACTTATGAACGGATGCCAATGTGTTGGAGACAATTGCCAAAAGATAGAACGTATAATACGTATTATTGTATAAATACAGGGTGATTCAGGAAGTGGAACATTACTTTAATGTATGTAGCAAAAGGTCCATGTGCAGTATGGCAAGTGATTTTTGACAGTCATATTTCACCATGAGTACTTTCTGGGTATAAATACAATGGTTTTCATTAAAACATTTATGTTTACTTTCAAGTGAAGTCTCCATGATAGTAAAATATCGATCCAACTCTCTGAAAAAATTATGGATTAGGACCCCACCTTGTCACTTTTTTTAAAATGTACTTGGCTTATTTTCTAAAAAGAGGATCTTGTTTTTCTCAATTTAAATATATCAAAAGTTTCTCCTACACTATATTAATAACTTCTGAAAAGGGGGATGGGCATTGAAATGCGATAAAGTTAAAAACCACATTTCCCATGTTATTTTCCAATAGGGAAAACTCATGCTATCCATTGTTTTCAGCATCATTTTGGTCATCGAAATTGAAAAACTAGACTTTCAATACCATTCTACGTTTGAAGATGTTTTAGACCCCTTGTTGAATAATCTTTTCATGCAATAAAAATCAGAAAAAGATCCTCTTTTGAGCAAATAAGTTAAACATTTTGAAAAAATTGTTGACGTGGGGTCCCTATTTTTATCATCATGGGGACTTCACTTGAAGGAAAACATATTGTTTTAATAAAAACCACTGTATTTATGCCTAGAAAGTACTCATGGTGAAAGATATGACCCTCTAAAATCACTTGCCATACTGCACATGGACATTTCTCTTCTAAAAAACATCAAAATTTTTCCGAGCATAGTTCATGCAAATAAACATTGGCTGCAAAGTTTTTGATGCAACTTATCTCCAAGTTCAAGTTTGGTTTTCAGTTTCGAAATAATGCTAAATTTCCTGTTTGTTGATTTTTCTTCAAGCTATCGAGATGACAAACTTCAACTTGGCCAAACGTTTTAAACGTTTTGCTTGGAAGATCCAATCTGGTAACTACTCGATCACGGTCAACACTTCGTATCCAAATATTGGTTAGTAACAGGTTAGTTTGATGGCAATGGTTGGATTTTTCAGTGATGGAGAGAAAGAGAGCATCTGCTTTGACATATAACTACTATAATTTTCGTTTTCTTAATATCTTGAATGAGATTGTTTCCATACAAGGAGGATTTACTCCCAGAATGCAATCTCGATATTTTCCAATGATGAAAATGTTAGAATGTCGTAATGGTCCAGACAATTAACTGGTTATATTCACAATCAGCAATCCATAAGATTCGACCTAATATCTTTTTATGTGTTTTCAATTTTTTATTACATAATTAGACCAAAACTTGTGATTCAAAATTTAAAGTGAAAACAAGACATCCTCCAAGATCGGATTTAATGTTGGAAAATATCGAGATTGCATTATAGGAGCCAATCCTCCTTGTTTCAATAATTCCAATGCATTATGAGCTGAAACATGGATCCCAATCTGACATATTCCTTCTTTCCAGTTCTTATATAGGCCTAAAGTATATTCGAATCCCATCTTTATGATATCACTTGGTATTGAAAATAGTTTCTAACTGATTTTACATGTAAACAGCTCTTGTCAATGCTATTTTATAATACTATAGCAATCAGTATATTTGTAAAATAAAGAGTCTCTATAAAAGCAACAAAATTGATACCCTTTGCACTCGTTCGACTTCGCCTCTCAAAAAGAACTTCGTCTTCGGTAGTTTATAATATAACTGGACTCTGCACGCAGGGTACAAAATTGAGTAGTCGATAATATTTCAAAGAAGGGGGGTCCTGTCTAACATTTGTGGACTGCACCTAAAACGTTACATGGGATAAATATTCAACAGAATTTGTGTACTCAGAGGAGAAATTAATTTATAATTATATAGAATTAACCAATGTTCCACTTTTTTGGACCACCCTGTAGAGTATGAGATCGAGTTTTTCTGAAGGTTTGAATCAAAAACAGTATGCTTAACTTACATGTAGTCATTAGGTTTTCATCTGTTTAACACAGTTATTTATTTTTCTATATTTGATAAACCTGGTTGGGATAGAAGTTCATTTCATTTCCAAACGCCTCTGAAACTTTATCAATAGCTCATCACACTATTTGTCAATATATTTCCCGTTTTCTGTTGATAAACCAATTATTTCGATACCTAATTAAATGGAATCAGCGAAATTCATCCATACATTCCCTGTTTATTGAATTTCAAGGTCAAATCAACGTTTTTAAGTCTCTCGAAGACTGACGCTATCTAACACCAATATTTCCCCTGAAATTGATGTTTCAGGATTGTGTAAGATTTTATCAACTAAAAACTTTTTACATAGATTTTTAGACATCAGGTTAAGGTCAAAAATGATTTTTAACTTTCTTCAAACTGTCCCTCGTGTAATTTAGACAAAAAGTGGGACTTGCAATTTTCCTGAGTGAAGTAATGAGCACACGAGTCGTAGGTCTATTTTACTTAATTTCATTGGATGTTTTGTACTTTAAAGCAATATGTCTACTGATTTGTTTGAACTCTTCAACTTTGTCAAATGGGCAATCAGATGTGATATGATTACTTTCCAACCCTTTCAATCTGTTCACAACTTGCTTTGTTGATTTATTCAAAATAGTTTAAATATTGCTTCCTTCTCTGCATTTCTAACTCCCATGTTTGGGTTATTGATGTAGGAGTACATTGCAGTGATAAACTGTATTGTACTGCAATCATGTTCAGACCACAGCTCTGACAAGTTTCTCCTGAGGGAGATTATGTTGTGTTCTTGCTTCATTGCTCCTTAGGGAGTCAATGAAAAGTTTTGTTGCTGAGTTGGTTGCTCCTTGGGAGACAATGACATGTGTTGCTGCTTCATTGCTCCCAAGGGACACAATAGTAGCTGGTCAGTGCTCCATAAGGAGACAATGACGCTCCCAAGGGAGACAATAGTCTTGTGATGGTGAATCGGTCTTCCTTGGGGAGACAATGGAATGTGGTTATGCTTCATTGCTCGCACGGGAGACAATAGCACATGTTGTGTTACTGAATCAGTGCTCCTTAGGGAGACAATGGGATGTGTTTGTGCTGGTCCTTTATGGGAGCATCACACATAGGCCTAACTAAATGAAGGAAAACCAAGATATTTTCAATTGCAAATTTTCCCATATAAATTTTACGATGCATAATTTATCTAATATTCAAGTCCATGTTCAAGTCATGCAATTGCTTTAAAACGATTTCCAAATAAAAATGCTTATATGAGGTGTTATATTTATTCAAATTGGGCCTGTGATATTTCTATCTAAACATATAACTTTCAAACTTGTCACTCAAAACAAGTTTGGGAATCTGTTTCAGTAGATTGTACCTAAAAAGCACCAACACGTCTTATAGAAAACCAGGGACATTTTATCATCTTGATTTAATTTTCCACCACCTGTATCTAACATGAAGTGAACTTTAGACCACATTCCCAACTTAAGTCCCCAATCCCTGTGTTTCTTACCACAATAAAGTCATTGCAAATTGCCTCGAAAAGTCAAGACAGATTTTGTGGTTATTTGATAACCAAAAAAAGAGACAAGCATATATATCAATAACAAATGGTATATTTAACAAATCTCAAAATGAGAGGTATCATACCTATGGCCCAGTAATTTTATATATTAACATAAGTTAAGGTAAACAATTAACATCAGTCAATGTATATACACCAAACACAATTACAAACATTGTCGGCAAGATGAAGGTAAGATTGTTTGAAGGAACATTATGAGCCTGTCAACGTGATTGACAAACCAATAAAAGGGATTTGAAATGTCTCATTGTTTCCTCTGATAGCTAGCAAGGTAGGCGGAATTCATTAGTTTTTATTATTAAAAATATGAATTCTTCAACCTGGATGCTAAAGCCTATGTATTTAAGCTTAGGAATTATTTACAGTAGAAAATCACTTGGAATCGTGTTTGAAATTGCTCCTAGAGCCATGTGACAGGTCTATCAGCTTCAGTGTAGCAATCATCAGAGCTATTACCCTGATCCATATTGGTTAATCACACTTCACTCTGACAATTATGGATGATTTCAAAGTCCTGATAAGAATGTGAGATTAACATTAACTACTCATAGACAGAAAATGAAGTGTCCTTATTATTCACTAAACAGATTCTGGTAATTATTATTAATTATGGATAAAAGGTAGATCCAATAACTATCTCTGATTTAAAAAGAATATAACTAAGGTCATACTCTTGGGAAGAGTACAGCCTTAAAAACTACCCAGGAAAAATGTCACTCTTCAATTCTATTTTGATTTTTTTTCTGCACAAATTCTCAATAAAGTATGCATGTAGTCAGAGGGGAATAAACCAGAGTTCAAAATGAACCTATTTTCAAGTAGTGATGAACTGTTAGGTTAAGCATACAGAAACATATATCTACATGTTTCCATATTTACATCTTATTCTTGTCATAAAGTAGAACAATACTCCTTCAACTTGATTAAGATATTATTGGTGGGAAATACAATAGAATAACACACTGTTGGTCAAATCCTTAAACTACATACCCCATTACATTATTTATTAAACATTTATCAACATATTGCTTTTACTTGTGGTTTGGTTCTGTTAATGTGTGTATAAATAGGGTGATGTTACAAAAACCTTTCATTGATCTTTCCTTTTGTTCAGTTTGTTACATATCTGATTCATCCTTAAATTAAAGAATAGGGATAAATAAAATTATTAAACAATAGAGATAGATGTTATGTCACCTCGTAGTTCTGAGGCAAGTACCTTTCTATACCTGTACAAAACTAGGTAAATGTAATGATTTCTTGAAGCAAACCAAATAATAATTTTTGGTTTGAACAGTGAAAAACACACAAGGCAGTTACATTATAATATGGTACCACAAACAAGGCAAGTTTTGAGAACTTGAAGATGATTTTAAAATAAATTGGTCAATTTGAAGCAAGTTGAAAATTATTTTTTTTTACCTTTTTTGACCTTGAGAAAGTCATAAAAGGTCAAAACTTAAATCTAAGGTCAGATTTGAACTTCTGAAAACGTGTAGATGGTTTTGAATTATTGGAAGTTGTAAGAATTTGTTACAGACGACAACCGCCACCCACTGATCGCCAACCACCAACTGCCAACCATCAATTGTCAAGTTACAAAAATGGAAGCTACTTGTTTGATAAAATCCTTTACAATCGGGGTTCACTGCCACAGCAGCTTGGGAAAGAAGTGAAATACCCCTGGGTCAAGGATGGTATAATAATGTCATCACTTCTTGGTGAATTGATGTGGATAATACTATGTAAATGTATTCCTGTGATGTTATAGTTGTTTATTTATTGTGCAAAAAGGTACAGGGTGACCCCAAAAAAATGCAACCCTCCATTTCTTCAATATTTTTCTTGAATGGAGGCTAATTGCTCTGAAATTTGGCACACAAGGATTTCATTCAATGTGGGATCCTCTGGCAAAGTTTCAATAATCATAGCCTTATATTGATAGAGTAATGGTCGTTCCAAAATATGCTCCAAATGTCGTCCATTTCCACTGTTAGGTTTTCGGATGAATCACATTCCCTTCTTTCTGAACATGTAAACTCAAGAAATAATGTGTTCTAGGATCACAAATTCCAGATGAAGTGCTTCAAAGGCCCCTTCATTCTGTTATTAAAATGCACAGCTTGGGCTGCCAATTTCCAAACATGAAATCATCAGCCCCTTTTGGTTTAAGGTTGATAATGGCAACACTGTTACTGTTAACACACAGCGCAATATTGGCGTTCCCAGGAAGTTCTAGGCAGTTCTAGAATGACATACAGGCTTCAATAGACAAGAACAGTGGTTCTACAAGTATGGAGCTACTCCTCACACTTCTTATGATAGCATAGCCTGGCTCACTAGTCATTTCTATGAGAAGATTATCTCTCCTAGGATGGAGAACCCATGATCATCCCAACGTCTTGATCTCAATGCCCCTGACTTCTATATATGGGGTTATTTAAAGTATAATGTGTATGGAAATAACCCTACCGCAATTGCAGAACTCCAACAAGCAATGACTGCAAAAATTTAAGCCATACCCATGGGGAAAAATGCATCCGTGTTATGAACAGTTTTCCTTGAACATTGCAAGTTTGTTTTCAGCGAAATTGACGATATCTGGAGCATATTTTGAAACAACCATAACTCTATCAATATAAGACTATGATTATTAAAACTTTGCCAGAGGATCCCACATTGAATGAAGTCCTTGTGTGCCAAATCTCGGAGCAATTTACTTCCATTTAAGAAAAATATTGAAGAAATGGAGGGTTGCATTTTTTTGGGTCACCCTGTATAAAGTCATAATACTCAAGCCACCTAAATATAACTCTCATTAGGGATCGGATCAACACGTCAAGTTCCATCAAAATATGTTATTCTGTATAATATTAGAAAGGTAGGGGTAAAATCTTGTTTTATTTTGTGAAACGAGCAATTTCTTTTGTTTCTGAGGCTTATTGATAAATTGATTCATTTTGAAGGAGGAGAGGGGGGGGGGGGGGGGGTCAGATTCATATTTTGATAGCTGTTGATTTATTGGACTCCCCCCTCCCCCAATACAGATATAAAACAACAGAAGTAATGTTATGCAGTTTAGTACATGTATTAAACATAAAGACTTTTTCTCATATAACAGGTGGATAATTAGAAATCAGGGGAACCATAGAAACTGTAACCATGGAAACCATGTCCATCGGGAAACCTAACCTTTTCCCATAACAACTGAACCCAATTTCTTTCTCAATCAAAACAAAAACACTTTTTTCAACTACTAACATTTAAATAGGAATATAATACCGGATTGGTCATTGGTCTAAACAAACCAAATATTCTTTCCTTCAGTATTTGGCACAAGACATTTTTCTGAAAAAATGGTCCCCTGAGTTCTAATTGTAATTTAATGAATCACAAAAAGGCTATATGCCTACCCTGTTTGGACTATTTGTATGTGTTTTTTCCTCAATAAGATATAACAAGAAGTACTGATTTGCACTGAATTCTACACATAATCACCTTTATTTGGTAAGTGGTTGCTAAGAAGTAATTTGATGAGCAAAGAACAGTGTAGTTCTAAATTTCATAATTAAAAAATTCTCACTAACAAAAAGTCTCTTTTTGGCGGGTATCATTTAAGTGTGGATTATAACTAAAATTTAGAGCAATTTTTTAGATGGACCCAAATCAGCAATCTACAATTATAAAATTTCGTTTCATTTTTCTTGGGTGCAGAATGATCCTAAATTTACTCTACTAAAATGGTGTACAAAGTGGCTACATTAACCCCATAATCAAGGATTGGCTCTCGGAGTGCTTCATCGATATATGGGCATGTCGTGATTACAAAATTTCGCTTCAGCATATTTGAATTGTCTTATTTCCAAACAAAAAATTCCAAAACTGACAAGAAATGATTGAGATATTGGTTCAAATCTTGGACTGTTTATTTTAAAATAGTCGGTTATAATATAGAAAATAACAACATTTTTACATTTTCATTGTTAGAAAATATTGAGTTTCGATCCTGGGAGCCAATCCTCCTTGTCTCATAATAATACAAACAATGTACTTAAAGATAAATAAGAGAAAGTTCAAATGTGAAAAAAACATCAAAAACAATCTTCTCATCAAAACTCATCTCATTAAGTCTTGTGCGTGTAATTGCATTCATTTTTAACAACCAATTCATGTAATTTTATAGATCTATACAGTCAAAGTAAATAATTTATTGAAAAATATATTAATAAATATATATGTAATAGACAGCATGCACAATGGTTTGCAAATATTTCTTTAACAAGAAGATAACATTTAACATGGGGATGAACAATCCTACTTCTCAATAAGATAAATATCTATATAGTATTTAATCATGGCAATAATACAATCAGCATACATGTACATTTATATACATAAGTACATTACATTTTAAATTTACAATATAAGAAAGTACATAATAAATTATTTTCTGTACAACATAAGTATAAATACAATAAATGAGTCTTTTAACCAAAAAGTGCTTGTTTTGCATCATGTCTCTGGATCCCTCCCCTGTAGTGAAGTGGGGGGGGGGTCTCAGAGGCTTGATGCAAAACTATCTAGAACTGATCAACACTGTTTTGTGTTGTGCTGTTGTGTTTTCACAACACTATGAATCAATACGCACTCACTTCTATTATTAAACCAAGTCATGTAAATTCAAAGAACTCGAACGGATTACTATTTCCCCTCAAATGTTTTTTAAATGTACCCAATTACCAATAGGTCTAAAGTACCATAGTCGGTCCCTTGGAAATTGACAATTGCAAACTTTAATCGGAGCTTTATGGCCTATCCAGTGATAAATACAGTGATCAGTAGAAATTACACTAAAGGGATTAATTTCGCTGATAAAATGTTCATCTCTCCCATACAAAATTGGTATTATCAAAGATTAATGGCCAAATGAAATCATTACACCATCATTACTATAAAGCATCATATGGAATCTATCTGTTAAATCACCATACATTTCACCTAGAACATTGTTAAAGTGCATACAGTAACTAGTACATAGCTCAACATGGAGATTTGGTGGAAATGAAAATATCTCTGAAGTAAATATCTCCCCTGAAATATCTGCCATAATTGAGTCACCATTGCAGACTTTCAAATGATATATGAACACTTAGGTATCTACATGTACATGACATATTTGAAAATTAAAAAAAATTACATTACATTTTAATATTTACAAATTTCTTCATTCAAATAAATGTACATAAGGTAAGAAATGTACATATTAAGCCTTACTAGCCTCCAAAATGTATATATCAAAATGTACCCCATATACATAACATCATAAGCAAAAATGAAGAAAATGTATTATATTAATATAGAGATCAATGTTTATATCTTTATGCCCCAATCTGCTATTTGAATCATCAACATACTTTGATAATAAGCTTCTTTCTGAAAGAATCTCAGCTCGAAAAAATTGTTCACCCCGTACGAGGTATGACAAGTGCAAATTATAAGGGTTGAATGCATGTATCTCTTATCATATCTAAACGGCAAATAATTAATCCACTGGCCAAAAAAGAAGATTGTAACATTGTAAAATTGTTTCAATTTCATTTAAATCATAAATAGGGCACTGGGCCACTTTAATAATTGGAGAAAAGCATATTTATCTGTACTATGTAGTACATCAGGTGAGTTTCTCTAAGGTTTAAACCTCAACATTTTCCACATTATGCTACTACTAAAAACGATAGTGCATAATGCCAAAACATGTGCTATTACAAGAAATATTATACAATTAAGAAATTTATAATTCAATAATAATATTTTCAATGTTTCATTATATACAAAACATAAACAATTGTCTTTTTTGATTTATTCATGACACAAAGGTGTCTCTCACTTTGTAATACACTTATGTGAATCTTATAGATGTTTATTACATGGAGGATGTATCCTCTCAATTGAAATACACTTCAACACTGAATTCACACTTAATATCTTCTACAATGAGATACTTCTCAACATTGACATAATCTTCAACAATGTTTTCCTCAAGTGAAAACATTCTACAAGTGAAAACCTTCTACAAGTGAAAATATTCTACAATATCTTCAACTACAAGTACAACAAGCCCGAAGCCCCCCTGGCCCAAAATCTTTCAAAATCATGCATATATCACCATTCTGAGCACTTTCCAGGTGATTTTGGGCCACCTTTTGGGAGTGAACCCCCTTGACAAAAGCTGGATATGGGCTTGGGTATAAGGTATCCTAAATTGCAATATCTTCTACATTGAGTATCTTCTATTGAGATGTTAACAATTTACATATTCTACCTCAAAAATGCGGTAATGTCAACTGCTATCACATATTTCACCATTCCAAATTGAGACAGCAAAATTAAGTGAGATCATGATTCCTCAGTTCATGTCCCCCATTCGATTTCACTTGGACTGACTCTATCAAGTTACTGTGGCTGCTCAGACGTAGAAGTTGTTTCGCCTAAAGCTGAATCTTTTTCGTTCCCCGATGTGCTAAAAAATGAAAATTATGTTATGAAATATATATATCAGTTAAGTAGTCAGACATCATACATCGTTAATTGAAATATGTTACGCATACTCAACCTTTTAGTTCTTGTTACCACCTTTCATTTTTGCAATTTATTCAGAATCCGTCTTTGAGGGAATTCAAATACAAAAGGGTTTATCCCTATAATCTGACCCCTTTCCAAGGAAGAAGCAGACTTTATGGAGAGCTACTTTGAATATCTATGATTCTTGAAAAGCATTTAAAAAATCCATGAGTGAATAAATATATATGTCTATTCAACCAAATAATTCAATGATTTTGATCAGTGACTTCTGATAAAGTACAATATATGAACTTATGAAGGCATCAGTAAAATCCATTTTATGCATTTTTAAAAAGAATCAACTTTTAAGAAAATCAGTTCTATCCGATTATAATGAGAGGGGGGTCAATCTGAAATGTTATTGATAATCGAAATATTGATCAGTTCACTAAGATCAAATACATAGCTCCTCTCCATAGAGTTGGCCTCTTTGACTTACAGAAAGTTAAGATGACATGTACTGTATATGTCACTATAACTGTCATGCCATATATGTCACAATAATTGTAATGCCATACATGTCACAATAATTGTAGTTTAAGACTCCATATTATGACATTTCTTATTAGACAAAGAATCATGCTGAATAAACATCATCACCCATACATGCCTGAGGAATAACAATCCTATTACAATATCAAATCTTTAATTAATTGCAGAAAGGCTAGAAAAGATCTCCTGGTAATGAAAATGAAAAAAATAGAAAACACAAAGGGCAATATAAATAGTTCATGGTCTTGAATCATGATATTGAAGTTATATATTAACAAATTACAACATTGTTTAACTGTTTAATAACTAAATTTTCAGCAAATACATGTTCTTCAAAATGTAATAATATAACATCAAATAACTATTATAGGAAGGTTTTAATAATTATCCTGATGTATAAAGTGATTGGTTTGAGACTATTCCCGAAGGTGAACCATTTCATGCCATTGAGGAAAGGCTTGATAATTGTCTAAATCTCCTGGTAAGACATTCAAATTACCAAGAAATGAATTTTCTAATTTTGTAATGATTTTCCTAAATAAGACCTATCAATCTGACAGAATACAAATATATTAGAGCGTTGAAAAATTCAGTTCTTTGTCGAGATCACGCCTATCAACCCAAGGGTATTCATTTAAAACAAAAACCCTATGACAAGAAAATCGAAACTAGTTTTCATGACAAGATTTAATGACCCTAAGTGACACTGAATGACAAGTAAAAATTGTAATATTCTAATAACTAAAATAAGAATAAATGTGGTAAAAGTATTAAATCAACAGAATAATTATTTAAAAATAAAATGTGCACAATATCAAAAGAAAATGTTGACATTACAAAAATGTGGATAGTTCATGATTTACGTCTACGTAAAAAGTGAAATCAAGATACAAGTGCAAAAACAACAGAAAGTGTAAAACCATGACACACAGAAGTATACAAAATATAATTTCAATTTACAAATCACATTAGAGCCAAGAATACTTTGAAAATGTAGAAGAATGAACAAAGTTTTGACGACGCACAATAGATTGACACAAAATAAATGAAGGGGACATGAAACATCAATTTTGTTCCGATAAACCACTCACCCTCCTTGCATGCAACATATCCCAGAAATCACTGTTTGCGTTAAGTTAACGGGATATTATTAACATGTCTTACTTATTTATATTCAGATTAGGTTTACTGCTTTTAATCCAGCGTGATTTATGCCTACAATGAGTGTTAGTAGTACATATAGTATTAGGATATAGTCACAGGTTGTTAGAAAACTATTAACAGATTGCATCAAGTCTCTGTGACAACCCCCTCCCCCTCTGCCACACATATCCCAAATATTGTTCGATAAAATGCAGAGAGAGTGGGGGTGGTGGCCAGTGATTTGATGCAATGCTGAACTATCAGTATGTCAATCAATACCACTTTCTGAATCAATCAATACCACTTTCTGAATAAATCAATGCCACTCTCTGAATATGGTCAGGATTTACAAGTGGTAGATGGTGATTATAAAAACATCAAACTGCTTTCAAATTGTAGTTTAATACATTATTTTATCACATTTCTTTCAATATTAACTTAAACAATGGGAAGAAAATATTTCTGGTTGACTTAATACGAAGACTAGGTATTCAGAGAATGATATTATAATACACCATGAAAGACTTGATGAAATTAAATATACAGGGTACTATAAATTTTATATAATAGGCCAAGGAAATTAATATAAAGCATTCATCAACAAATTAAGTATTTGGACTGCTATTCTACAATACTCGACCCATTTAATAAAGAAGACAATAGAAAACATGATTTGGAGAATTGAGTTTAATTTCATCAAGTGATTTATGCTTAATACCCATGGACATTCATGAATATCACTACCTACAAGAAAAATTGTAAAAAGATTAGTGGTGACTAGCGACATCTATTTTTCTTTCACTGCAATAATTCAAACAATGGCTATCAGAAAAACTCTTCACTCTACTATCAAAAGCATTTATTTTAATGTTAATAAAGTGAAAATGATGAAATAAACTACAAAAGAAAAGAAAAGTGAGAACATCTCAGTGGCCGACAATAATGAGAAATTATTGTTGAACCCAAGCAAAGACTTTTCAGAATCTTTTGATTATTTGATCAATACTTTGATGAGCATTATATTTTCAAGTGTAACATGCATTTTCTCACATTGATTTTCATGTTCAAGCAAAACTTTTTCATGAGTGAAAAGATTCAACCGTAACTTAAAACGTTATGTGTAAAAACAACAACTGATAGACAGCACTGAAATCAAACGTGAGACATACATATGGAACTTCGTCAATGGCTAAAGCAAAATTATGATCCCTTCTCGTATGGATTTCACCACCACGAGAGGATCAAACATGTGATGTTTATAAATAGTTAAGTTTATTTAGTGTGAGGATAGTTACACAATACACATGTATTCAGGGATTGCATCAAAACTTGACTGAACACTGAGACATTTTATTTGGAGAGGAGGGTGCAGGTAAAATGTAACTTTTCATCATATTCAATTATGGTACCAGGGCTTTTTGAGGGAAATGGAGGGATTGGATTTACATCCATGCATTTCTCCTGGTAGAGGTGTCAAAAGATTTGATATATCCAGTTACCAAAATATGGCAGAGATCTGTGAGTTAAACTGAAATTAAGTTTGGGTTGACTTGCTTTGATGTTTTCATGTGGTCCCTGAACACTGTGTCTAAGAGAGTCACTTTTTTGTCAAGTTCACATTTTCACTCCATCTACCTGTCATTTGTTTATTCAGTATTTCACTCAGGTCTTGTATTGCCTTAATAAATCTACAAATCAACATTAACATCTACGATTCAATTAGTATATACATGTACATGCACAAGCATTTCTTTCAGAGTACAGGAACCAAACTAGAAAATGATACACTTCACCAAATATTTTCTCTCAGAAAGGTAAGGCACCGATGATCTAATGATAACCACATTAGAAAAGGCTATGTTAGTTTTACATCAAGTGTTTCGTGCCCCCCCCCCCCTCCCCCCAGCCCTTGTGTTAATGCAAGAGAATAAGAGGTACCAACAATGGTACATGGTCTAAAACCAATGAATACCATAGTATCACATTTCATTTGAATGATTAATTTGAAGCGTGATAAGCAAAACATTGCTATAGCTTGTATGTTACACATTTTACTGTACATGCACAATTGAAGGGCATCTCAGGTGGAAGTCTTCTCTGGGGAAGAAGCAGTCTTTGTCAATCCAATCCACTGGCCCCAGCTACAATTATTAGCGAGGTTAACAACATCCACGAGTCAAGATAATACATGATTGTTAATACTGAACATTATAGCATGCTTATATTATGAATATATCACATTTGTACTCAATTGAAAACTTTGTTAAACATGCAGTTAGTATAAAGATTTTTCAGATGATTTATGTCTTGAATTGTTTGTATTATATGCACTTTTCAACTACTGCCATGCCAACTTTGTAAGTCCAGTGAGGGCAGATGTACCATGCATCACTTCAAGACTAAACTTAATTATTTCAGTTATTTAAAAAAAAAAAGAAGTTAATTTGGTTCCTAATCTCAAGATATTGATTTTTACCAATGATAAAATCAATATCAACACCCATATGTATTTCAATTCCATCCTTGCGCCAAACAAAATGAATTTCATAATGAATATCAATTTTCATCTGCCCATCCATTTCATATGAATAATGTTAAAATGGTCACCTGTGTGTGCCTTGTCTCGCCATCTGATGAGCTTTTCTCTTACGCTGATAGTGACTCCTGGAAAAATATGTTTTAATTAAGAACATTCACAGTTACATTTATGTAATATCAATTGTACACTGTGAAGAGATGGGGAAATTGTCCAGCCTCTGAGAATTATTTTCCTTAGTCTGAAAAGGTACCAGTAAAATAAATAGCATATTTCCAATTCTTGTGACTGACTTAATTTCTTATTGAGAATGTAACCAGTCGAAAATGTATACACTCCTTGGGGTGTCAGTTCAATGTATAAAATATTCAAATGAAATAAATTATACTGAGACAAAGGTAATAAAGACCCCATTTACAGTACCTGAATCTTTGTTGAATAAGTACAGCTGCACTTCGACTTTTCTTGAATCGTTCATGTTCCTTATATGTCCTGTATTGGTTCTGTATGACCATTGCTGCATCCCTGCTGCGCTTAAACCTCTTCTGGGCATAGTAGCTCCTGAACTGACTCTGAATCAACACTGCAGCCTGGGTCATCTTCTTATAGTAGCAGTACTGAAAATCAATCAAATCAATTAAACAATTAATCAGTCAATCAATTAATCAGTCAATCAATTAATCAGGTATAAGTTATAGGGGGTGAGAAGAATGAGTAAAATTCATCAAAGTAATAAATGTGGATAAATACAAAAATGGTAAAATCTATGTATTTCAATGGATAAAGTATATACATTTTGCCCAAAAAATCTGATATAGAGATAATTATTTTCTTTCATTATACATTTTCAGCTTACATTAACTGTGCATTTCTATGGTTGTCATATATCAAAGGGATTATACTATAGCTGTACATGTCTTGATTAAAAGTATAATATTTAGTACTGCATAGAGCCAATGGCAGATAGTACTGTTAAACAATTATGAAGCATATTGTGAAAATTCGTTTTAAGTACCAACTGCTGACAAATGGATGCTGTCACAAAAATGTTGATACAATATATTATCACATGCACTACTTTTTTGATGTGACATAACATCACAAAATAATGCACAGTCTACAGAATTTACAAAGTTTACCTGTTTATATCTCCTGTAATAGCTCTGTATAAGGATAGCAGCATCGATCTCTTTCCTCTGCTGTTCTCTACGTTTCTCCACTCGAAATTGACGAAAAAAGTTTTGGATTATCTTAGCTGCTTCATATAGCTTTCTTTGTTCCTGGTCTGTAAAAAGAATGAACTATTTTATGGACATCAATTTTCAGGGGAGAGAAAGCTCTTCCAAATTATTAAATAATTATTTCAAGGAGCTTTAATACTTGTCGATACTAAACATCCCCGGTCAAACCTTTTTTCCTGACTTTACTCGGGATTTCAACCTGTGCTCTGCTATTTTCTAAAATCATTTCTTCTTGATTAAGTGATTATACACAGCAGCAAACATAAGGTAAAGACGAAGTTTGCTAATTAACTTGACCATAAAGTGACAAAAGATAAGTGATTAATTATAGATTTAAGACACAAAACTTGATTTGTACAGAAGTGAAAATAGTTTGAAATTATTCTAGATTCAATTCCATATCATTTATTTAAATTCAGTTTCCCTACCTGACAGAGTGAGCTGTGAAAAGTCCTTCTCCATGTAAAATGTGGGGGCATTGAAATATTCAAGAAACTCCTGGGCAGTGGGAGGGGGTGAATCAATGGACCAATGATATGGACTCTGCATGCTGGAGGACTCTGGGCTCAGACTGGAGGCAGGTGTGTCCAGATTAGGATACCTAAAGGTAATCGATTATCAAATATTAAATCAATTTGGAAAATGCATGTATCATATGGCAAGGGTTGAAATCTCTGAATATATAGCAATATATTCATACATTTAACTTTTTTATCTCCTGAAAGATGTTTCCTTATGCCTATTGTGACAAACACTGCCAAAAGACAACATACAATTAGTCATAAGAGATCAATAGTTCTCTACAACAATTCATGCTTTAAAATATAACATTTATTTTAAAGCACTCAACAGGGTCATTCTGTGGTAGCTAAAACCCATTTCTACAATTTCTACATTACCTGTAATTGTCCTCGAAACTGTACTGGGTGCATTCCCCCAAAGGAGTACAGATCCCAGAATCCTCTGCATATGGATTTGTCATCTCAGAGCTTATTGACCCAAAGGAACTATGGGAGCTGCTTCTTTCTCTGTATTCATTGCGAATGGTTGGTTGGTCAACCTGCATTTCTTCCTCAGCTGTATCAGAAGCATTTGGTGAAAGTTTGATGCGCTCGGGCATAGCTGCGATAATCTGTTTCGCTAAAGTTTCGATCTGGTTGGTACTTGCATCACCTGAAACGTAGAAATACCACAAGTTGAACAAAGATTTAATATGATAACTTCATTTATAACCTAGATAACATTTATGAGCTGATCATGAACAAGTTGGGGTCTGGCTCAAGAAAACATAACCAACAAAATTTGAAAAAATACTGGAATTTACTTAAGATTTCTGGTGCGTGTCTCATTAATGTTCGAATACAACCAAAATGAGGTCATTGAAGTTGCTGAAATGCACAGCCTGCCCCCCCCCCCCCACAGGTTATGGGCCTGAGTACATGTAATCACTGAAAAACCCTTAACATCCAATATGTGTTATCACCTTGTGATGCTGATGACTGGAGATTTTCCTCTTCATCGGAAGATAACCTTTCAACATCAATCAGGGGACTGGTCATCTCTTTATTACCTGTGGAAAATGCACAAACACATTAATACTTGTATTTTTAGGTTTTAAGTTACTCGTTAGTACAATCTCTTCTGATCTTGTATTTAAATGTTTATTTTTAGTTTCATAAATAATACAAACATACTGTCCGATACAAGGATTTGCAAATCTGCCATTTTGAGGCAAAGAGAAAATCAAAAAATTAAAAAAAACTTCAGATCAACTCACCAGTATCCATATATTGTGGGGAACTGTGGTTATGTTTACCACTATGTTGAGGTAGGTACATCAGAAATGTATTCAGATCTTGTTGACTGGCGGTGGCCATATTCGAGATCATAGGGTTTCCCTGTTTATACATATGCTCCTTAAATGCATCGAGATTAACATCAGGGGCCGAGTTAACTGAACGTAGGGAGTGAGCAGGATTTGTGGATTTATGAGATGGCTTTGTGTTGTGAGAAACTGCCCCCTGGAGAAACTCAACCGAGGTCCTTTTACAGAGCTTCCTTGAGCTTTCTGGTGTAGATGTCCGAGGTATTCGTGGGGTTTTGGAAATTGACTGACTGGAATTGGATAACATGTGATTGTTTTTATCTGATTTGGGAATAATAATCCTTAGGTCCGAGGACCAATTTGCTCGTGGGGTATCTTTTTTCAAGTCCATATTAAATGTATCTGGATTCACAGCAGCACTCATCGGTGTGAATGTGGCTGACGGTTTACTCTGTTCAGGTGGTGTACTTAGTTGGTTCAAATTCAAAGATTTCACATTAGATTCCATTTTGGCACTGTCTTCAGTATTCCTACACCACATTTCAAGGCGGTCTATCTGGTCCGCCAAGTTGAAATGATGGTGGTCTCTAGCGGCTGTAAGGGGAACTATACCATCCTTGTTACACACACTCAGGGCACTTCTGTCCCAATTATACAGCACCAATGCAGACTCTGATTTCCCTAAAGCACAGGCCCACATCTGCAAAACATGAACAAATGTAGTTCACATTTACATGAATTACTTGTATAAACAACATGTACAATATATGGGTCATTCTCCAATACTGACGTAAAATGACCCCCTGTACTTAAAATCCCATTTATGTAATTACATGAAGCTGTATGATATATTTATTGTTTCCAACATGTTGCACATATATTAAATATATAAATAAAATAAAATAAATATCATTGTAAATGTTTTTACTTGTTGTTGATTTCTTATAGTCCATTTGTCCAACATTTTTTTTCATTAAAAAACTGACATTTTGTGAAGTGATTTTTTGCAAGTCCATGAAATTTATAACCTGTGTCAGAGAACGTCCCAAAATGGATTATAAACAAATATACACATGTATCTGTAATAAAAATCGTGCTAAATGAGTGAAATCGTTGGTTATTGGCATCATTATAAAAAAAAATTGACCAGCACTTTTCCAAATGTGTGGTGTCCTTCCATATCACGACCAGACGAATTGTGCAAATATACTGCTAAAATGCGATTTTGCCCCCTATGTTGCACGATCGTTTGCCGAACGTCAATTTCCATTAGGCAGTTCTGAAATTTCTAGTATTCGTACTGCATACTTCGTCCTAGCCATGAAATTAGATTGCAAAAAAAATTCGTGTCCACATATCACGACCGTGACTGACGAAAACTATTTTAAGCTTAAAATGCTTTCGTGCTCAATTTCAGTGTACACATACCTCGTTTTAAATGTATAATCTTCACGTGATATGGAATTACGTAATCATTTATTGTTGAAGACAATATGGCGGCAAATAAAGGCGGGCTGTCCTCGTCGTGTCCCGGTAAGTAAGATCACGAACGATAAATCACGAAAGTGACGCACTTTCTAAATCATTCCACAATATGCTCCTAATGTTTTGGAACACTATAACACCAGTGTAAACAATTACAATGACCATAATACCGTAAAAATAAGATGATGTTTTTCCAATTTTGGTTCTATATTTTTATTTATCTAATTTAGCGTTCGTTCGTGATTTTTTGGACACGAAATCGTTAGTTTCGTGATTTTTTGGACACAAACACGTTAGTTTCGTGATGCTGTAGGACACAATCAGTTTAAGTTTATTTGGGTGTTCCATGGTTTGCAAAATAACCGAGGCTTATATTTTTTCTCTCTTATGCCATGTTTTCAGTAAGACTAACGTGTTTTTCGAGTCCCGTTTGAAGATGTTTTACATGTATTCAGCTATTGGTTAATTCCAAATTTCAAGGGAAATAACGCCAAAACGTTAATTTTCAAGTGAAAATTGGCCAGAGTTCTATTAAAAATACACTTGTGTTTGCAGAAATGTTACAGAAAAAGAAATCACATTTAGCCCTAACAAGCGCCCAGCGTAACAAAAATTATCGTGAAAGAATGAAGTCGTCAGTATTATATGCAGAAGAATTCCGAAATATTAATGTTACAAAGTGCAAGCTATGGAGGATGAAAGTAAAAGAAGACAAAGAAAAGTTGGACTATCAAAGACAACTGAGTCGTGAGAGATCAAGAAAGTACAGGTAGGATCACCAAAACTTATTTAATATTTAATTTTACATGTTTTAGATAGCAACGTTTTTATTGAATTATGTGACATGGTAATACATAGATAATTTATCAATTACGGCAGTTCGAACGCACAGGATGCTATTTAGAGGAATTTCTGATCTGATTACGTAAAATTTTGTTTCAGAGAACGGAAAAAGGCGTCAATGGCAACGGATTCGTCAATCTCAACGTCGACATCTAAGACAAGAATGAAACCAAAACTTAAAGTGAAACTCAGAAGTGAAGCAGGAGAAAGGAGGAAGAGATGGAGATTGTCTAAAAGAAAATATAGAGAAAACATGTCCTCACAGAAGAAGAGACGTGTAAATGAAAAAAGAAGGACTAAATATGTTAAGAATAAGGTAGGCAATGACAATTAAGCTTTTTACAATTTCTGCAAAAAATTGATTTAATTTTTCTTGTCAACTTGTCATTCTTGTCATTCAAAAAACATTTACTTTCATCGCAATTTCATTATATCTCTAGGAATATTCAAATCAAATACGAAGCTTGAGTGAGGAGTCACCCCAAATAGCACCCAGTGATAGTGAGCAGGAGCATTCTGGCAGTTCCGTACAGACGCCATATAGTACCAGACAAGCATACCACAAAGCAATGTCACGAGTTAAGTCAGCTCTTCCACACGACCCAAAGAAGTATGCCGTACTTGTAGAAAACCTGGCCTGTAAAGCTACCCCAAGGAAGAAGCGAGAATTACATGAGAGGGGTATTTTTCTAACTGCAGCTAAAGAAAAAGAGCTGGAGAGAGTCAACAGGATAAAACAGTATATTGAAAATACAAAACAGATGAGAACAAAACAAATCCTGCAGAGAAGAAAAACACTGAAAGCAATGATGAAACCGACAACTAAGAATGAGTCCGAGAGCAGCTGGAGCTTCATGTTTAAGAGTTCAGCCATAGAGGATGAAGAGAGGAAGAAAAGATCAGACGCACTTGATTCAGAAAAAGTAGTTGAGGTAGAAAATTTCTTCTCTAAAGAAGAAAACGCAAGGACACTTTCAGATGCTAAACAAGCTAGTGTGAAAGGAGAACGACCGAGAAAAATTCTAGAAAAAAGCCTTTCATCGCTGTACAAAGATTACAGCACATCTAGTGGACATCATATAAGTTACAGTAAATTTTGCAAACTGCGCCCAAATAATGTAAAAACTATGAGTAAAAACATTTTTAATCAATGCCTATGTGAGTATTGCACCAACATTGAGCTGAAGATTTCAATTATCAACAAAATTGCTGACAGAGATAGAACTTCAAAAATCCAAGACAAATATTCTGCAAGCCGAATCACACTTTGCAAAAAGGTTAGTTTTTTAATGATAACAATAAGCGAATGTGAGCATATTGTTCATTGAAGAGACATATTCCTTATAGTTTCGCTATTTGATTTGCATTTTAGAAGACGTGGTCCAGGGGACGTGGTTTTTAAAAAGGGTTTATGAAAAAGACCGAGCCCACCGACCACCGACCGGTCGGTGTTTTCCACAGGTAGCCTCAAAACAGGGTTTGAAGAAAATGGGTAAAAGACTGACCATTTGTGAAAAGTACCGACCATTCGTGTAGCCTTAATTTATTTTCGATTTTGAATACACGTCAATCGTATTTAACGTTTTTTGTCAATTTTAAAATGGTTGATTAATCTACACGATGTAATGTTACGTGTGTTCTTTTGCCATGATCAAAAGTGACTCATCATTTACGCACATCATTGAGAGCTATTTTTCATATTGAATGGAGTTTTTATTGACGTTTAATAACTGAGAAATCAAACATTACGTGTTATTCTTTAAAATAAAAAAAGATAACGACGCGATCGTAAATCGTAAGATCGTAAATGTTATTGGCGTGCATATTTTTGATATTTTCATACTGTACCTAATGTAATGCAACATGCGTTTTATGATCCAAAGTGACCAACCATATAGCAAAAGCTAGGCTATTGAATTGTCGTTTTTTATAGTTTTGAATGTCTTACCAGATTGAAATTGGTCGTTCAACAACTGAAAATTAAAACATTATGTTACGTTTTTTAGAGGACTACGCGATTAAATGACAGACCTACAATCTGACAATATAAATTCTCTTTTTATCGTGACTTAAAATGGTGTGCAGTGCCGAACCAATGTCCTATTAAATCTATTATTGTAATAAGTAGTGTTGTTATCCCAGATTGAAATTTGGTCTTCAAACAGCTCAGAAATAATACGTTTTGCTTAAAAATATGATCAGACCGCGACGTGGTTACGTTTTTCACGTGCGTTTTCGATCGTGATTTAAAATGGTTAAACACATTTTAATCACGACCTGGTAAATCATTGGATTCCTTGTTTTTAGTTTTATTGCTTCCTCGAATTTTGCATCTATTCTTTATTCAAAAGACTGACAGCCTACCACCGACCAAGCAGACCCAACTGTGGAGATTGAATGGTCGGTGGTCGGCGGTCGGTCTTTTTCGTAAACCCTTTTAAAAATACGATCGAAAATTATGCTTTAAATCACTAGCCCAACAAATAAGACATGTAATAAATTGCTTGACCAAGTTTTTTGAGACATAAGCTTTAATGTGTGATTAACGTATTAAGGACATTAATTTTCTAGGCTGACGGATCAGACTTTTATTCCAAACAGTGCCTTGAGAGAGCGTGTAACAACTGTGGGGTATGGCACCTAAAAAACCACATCGCACCGCTGGAGGCTCATTCAAATAATCACGTCAAATGGCAGAGATGGCAATCCCAAGTTTTTCATCACAGGGGAAAGAAATGCTCCAGAAAGATGTTGGTTACCAAACAGGGTGACTGGGAGACTTTCCAAAAGGAATTTCTGAATGAGATGGAAACATTTTCTTTGCACTTACATACTGCCAAATGGCAATATAGACAATTTGACTTCATAACTAAAAATGTACCGGTCAAAAAATGTGTCATGTGCCTCGATTTTGCGGAAAACTACACCTGCTCATATCAAGATGAAGCACAGGGTGCCCACTGGTCACAAGATCAGGTCACCCTTTTCCCCTCAATCAATTTCTACAGGTGTCCTATATGCCAAGAGATAATAAAACACAGCATCGTTGTATTGTGCGACGATAAAAAACACGATAGTCTAGCAGTGAACACATTTCTTGAAAAAATTCGCGGCGAAATCGGAAAAGTAACAAATGAAATTGAAGGGGATATTCTATTTAGTGATGGCTGTGCCTCGCAATTCAAGTCCAAACACCCGTTTTTAACGGCAGCAAAATCTCATTTAGCTGGCCGTCCTATTGACAAACACTTTTTTGGGTCTAGGCATGGCAAGGGGCCATGCGATGGGGAGGGGGGTGTTGTCAAACGTATGGTAACATCGGCAGTAAAATCTCGGCGAGCAATAATTTGTAACTCTGAGGATATGTTTGAATATTGCCAAAAGAATCTGTCAAAAACAGCTGATAACGACGGAGCATGTTGCCACAACAGGAGATCATTTATACATATTAAAGATGCCCACGCGATTGCTCACCCCATTGTTGAGATAAAACCAATACCAAACACTCGAAAATTACATAACGTGGGTAATTGTGGAGATTCTAGCCTCGTTTCAGTGCGAAATTTATCTTGCTTTTGTAACGTTTGCCTGGGTATTGACTTGGGTCAGTGCACGCAGAAAAAATGGGTTGAAGACAAAAAGATTGTTGAAATTCGCCAAAAAACTAATAGATCCAATTCTGTCTCGGGTGTAAGACCAAGAGCTGGGCGTGTTATTGCAAGAAGAGTGGCAACAAGAGGTGGTCATGTTGGTTCTAGACGGGGAGATGCAACAAGAGGTGGACGGAGCGGGAGAAGAACAGTTGTTACAAGAGGCGGTACAGGGGCGAGAAATGTGAACACTGTTAGACGATCACTCTTTGACACCTTCTCCATGTTGGGAATTGATGTGTCGGCGACAACATCTACAGGTAAAATTCATTGGATTCTTCATTCCTACTTGGCAAAAAGTTCATCGAAACCATTGAATAGGTTACAAGATTTTCTTATCGTCAACGCTTTCATTAGTCTCAGTTTGCAATTCTTGCAGAAATTACGGTGGATTTCAGAATTAAATTTGAATTGTAGAACGAGGGGGGTTCAGAATTTTGATTTAGATCTAACAGTCGTTCAATGACTTTATTTCTTTTAGAGGATTAAAGTACGAGACGGTAAGTAAAAAGTGAATACAGGAGGCAATTTACGTAAAATCATGACCTTTGAAATAGAAGAATCCTCGTTATTTTCTCGTTTATTTCTTTGTTATTTAACAATATTCTTTATCAAGTTATAATTTTCGTTCGTCAAAACTATTTCAAAATTGATTACAATCCGGTAATATTGTTATTCTAACAAATAAATTTTAGTTCATTTGTAACAGCTACACATTTTTATTTACATAACTAATTCTTGAAATAGTTAAGGGAATAATAATCAACCATTGTCTAGGAAACGTAGTCGACACATTTCAGTTTAAAGCAAAAAGAATACAGACACTTAGCGTTGCTTTAAAGTTGACTGAATAACATCTCTGAACATTAAAGTTTTTTCGGTATTGTGTCTTAGAAATTCACTTTTAGAGGATTCGCTGTTATACGAGTTACTGTACACGCTGAGTTAACTTCTGTTTTTATTTTCAGGATGTATGAATGGAATTCATACCAGTGAATCTTACAATGGACATTCGATAGATTATTTGTGGTTGACGTTGATAAATTATACTGTTATATGTTTTCATGTTAAACAGGACATTTCACTTTTTCTGTGGACGTTCAAGTTGTTATGCAATAAATTTTAAAAACGAAAATCAATGATTTTATTTTTACATTTAATTGGGCTTTGCATATGACAGAACATTAATACAAAACAGCAAAATTGTATTTATTACAAACACTGACATAACAAACTTTACGCAACGTACAAACCTCATCCAAAAAGTTCATATTGGAGCTCCAATTTGGTTCCGTAATCTTCTCTGTCCTCTCCTGTCCTTGCTCACGACCGAGACGGCTTTTTCATTATTTCAATATATGATTCTTAAGGCTGTCACTTCATTCTTGTTTCATAAAATTTATTTCCCATATCACATGTACATGCAATTACAGAGGAATGGACATTGGAATATCAATCAGAATAAAATAAGAGAAAAATACAGAAGTGTATTAACGTCCGGTCGTGATGCCATAAATTAAGGGCTGATGTTCAAATAAACATTCAATGCAGTCTGATACAAAGTTTTTCAATTGAACAAGATATCCGTTGACTATTTATTTTTGATTTTTGATTTGGGATAATTCTGGTAATAAATCATTATTACAAGTATACTTGACAGACTATCACGACCGGACGATTTCCACCTGCTGTAGGAAACAATGCTGATCTGCAAAAATAGTTTAACGAACTATCTTGTACAATATATATTCTGAAACTTTAAAGTGTAAAGTATCAGAAAAGCTAAAAATTGATCAGTTAAACAACATTTGAAAAATTGACCCCTGGTTGACATTTTCGGGAGCAGTACTGGAGAATGAGCCATATATAAAACATCTCACATTTCAACATCAAAATGATTCAAAACTAAACAAAACAAATATTTCCATTTCTTATCAGATATCCTCAAATCTTTTTTCTTCATAGAGACAAACAAATAGGACATGGGGACAAATTGGAACTTCAAGTTTGCAAGATTTAACACATGCTATTGTTTGCTGCAACTATAAAATGAAGGACCCATGGTCCTGTGCTCACACAGTTTGGAACCTTCAGAGGAATGTATATCCTGACTTTCAAACAAAAATATTGATTTGGATTTGTAGTCTCAAACTTTGAGAAACTTAGATAGCGTAGTTGTGTGACCTAGTTTGATGACCTTTGACCTTGAAAATTTTACTTAGTCAGAGCTCAGTAAGGTCTTTTGTGATTAAGCTGACCAAAATTTACATCCAAAAATCAACTTTTTTGACCTTTCGAAGGTCACTGAAGGTCTTTCGAAGGTCACTGAAGGTCAACTAAAGGTCAAATCCTAAAACTAAGGTCAGATTTGAACTCCTGACAACTTGTAGATGATTTTCAAAAAAAAATTTGGTCAAAAACAAGCTGTTTACCAGAGGTGTGCATGAATTGTTGTCTAGGCCTAATGTATCCATCTCATATTCCAGCACAAGGTTTGAGTTCTCTGTCCTGAAAAACATCAAATGCACAAACATTAATTACATTTCAAAGCATCAAGTACCAAAACATTGATCAATGCATTTCAATACAATAAATACACAAACAGATTACTGATTTAAGAGTAACATTACCATGTGTGAACTTAACTTTGAGATCTTGACATACATGTACACTGTACATTTCAAAAGAGTACCATTTATTTCGACACAAAATAAATTATTTGCACTCATTCAAAGCATTTACTGTAAAAAGATAACGGGGGAATATTTAAATAACAATTAAAAACAACTGCTGCAATCTCTCTGTCTTCTATTAAAACAGTAGCATTTTTCAAGCGTTGAAATGTGTTGACACAAAATAAATTAGATGCAATCATTCAGAACATTTACTGTAAAAATATAAAGGGAGAATATTTAAATATATCAAAAACGATTCCTCCAATCTCTCTGTCAGATAAGTAACAACCATCCAAAAAACTTAACAAATTTTGTATGTCTATTCATTTATTTATTTTTTATTCATAGAATCCATTTTACAAATACATATATTATCAGCCACTTGAAAATGTATGTTTATCAATATCATCCGAAGGCCATTTACATTCAAATTCAAAAAAGTGTATATAATATATGTGCATATACAATCATACAATTATTTATTTTTACATGATTGGGACAATACTGTTTAAGACTTCCCAGCCCATTCATATGTGATGGATGTTAAATATTTGTAAGAGATCATTGCATTTTTTGGGACTCAATATAAGTATGAGTATGTTACAAAAAGGTTATTGCACTATCATGGTCTGTGCTCTCATTGGTTGGCAGAGTGATGCTCCTGAAGGCCAGCATCGTCTGATTTTTATGTTTTATCAAACCAAATACCCAATACATCTATATATTCATCTACATGTATTCTCTTAAAATTAATTTTCAAAAAGGTTTATATACTTTATTTGGAGGGGGATACATCAAGGTGGAGTAATTAATATCCTGGGACAAAACATCCTAGGGTGACAATCTGAGGTGAAATGGCTTTGTGGTAAAATGTCTAAGAGTTTAAGTCTAAAGAGTATTTGGATAACATACATGTATCACCTAATGTGGAGAGTAGTAAGAATATAGTACATGTACAACAAGATAACTCCAACCAATAAGTTGTGAAGTATATAATATGTGTTCGTCTGAACAGAGAACATCATGAGAATGGAGAAGAGGATGGAGGCAAGGTAGTTCTGATGAGATCTGATCTGCGTATATTGGACTTTTTTAAATAGGGGAGCTTGATCATCCAAAGCGTTAATACACATAAAGGTCCAAAAGTTGTCAGACTTTGCCCATCTTAAGCAGTTAGGGGTCTAACTTCATCTTGAGCTAATGCAGCCTTGAGATTAGACCAGAAATGAGTTCCTGGCCATTGAATATAACTTTTCCTCTGAATCAAATGTTTCAACACTTTGTTTATTGGCTGAGCTAGAATGACCTCAGCTGGGTCGAGTAGAATAAGCACTAAAACATCAACCCCTTTGTCAAAAAGAACATTTCTTGCCATGTACATTTCATACAAACAATACTGACTCGTGGAAAACTCTTTTGTGACCAAGAGCAATGTCTTACGACTTTTATCTACTGACTGAACTATGTTTTCCTGGATGTAGGTCCCTGGCATCCAGTCTCTTAAATGAATACAGAATTGGAAGTCATTGTCACGTTCAAATGAACAAAGATCATCAACAACCCATTGTGTGCTATCAGCATGAAATGACACAAATGCATCATATTCAATGATGACTTCATTATGCATTTCCATGAGTCGTTTTTGTCTGTATGACTTCCGGAGGACATAGTACCAATATCGTAAGGTCCATCTATTGTAATGCACAAGCTTTCCAATTGCAAGAACCATTATAATACAGAGCAATAAAGAACCACTGATAACATATGGTGTCATGTCAACCCTGTGGCAATCATTCCAAAGTTCCTCTACATTTATCTGATCAAAAGCCAAAACAGAACCATTGTCAAAAACGCATTTGTACTCAAAGAAACCTGGGAACATTTCCCGCCTTTCCAAAGCTGTCATCCATTTAAGTGATAACAAAGATTCACCACAGCCACATGTTAATGCATTCCCAGTTAGATCAAGTGTGTAGTTTGTACGTTTTTTTAAATCATCCAGCATTTGTCTTTGTTTTGCCGCAATCAAATGTATTTCATTATGAGACAAGTTAATGTTTTTAATGTTATTGTGTCTTGATAAATCGAGAGAGAAGTTATATATTTGATTAAAACTCATATTTAAATTTGACAGATTTACCATGTTAAATATGGCATTCTCCGACATATATTCAATATTATTAGCTGCGATATCTAAGGTTTTCATTGTTGTCAGATTGGCAAATAAACGTCCTTCTGAATCATGGTTTATCACCAAATTCCCCATGTTGTTCTGGCTCAAATATAAGGCCTCTAAACGTGGAAGATAGTCAAAACCATCTAGAGCAAAATAATTGAAGAAATTTCCTTGCATGTAAAGATATTGCAGCTTGTTCAATCCAATAATTGGACCGTTCCATTTGAAAATGTTAGCAAATGAAATATCTGCAATCCTCAATGAATTGTCACCAAGACAAGTGTATCTGTGGACTGCGTCAATGCCACGGCTTAAATGATGAAGATAAAGCTCCTCCAAATGTGGTGGCGCTGGCCACATTTCTGAGCAATGTTCAAACAATGCTTGAGAATCTCTCTTTTGTAGTTTCTTTGGAAATATCAAAGGCATCTGAAGAACGTCTCTCTTCTTACGAGAACGTATTTGAAGAGGCCCCATATTTCTATCTCTTGGGTAGGATTGGTAACTAGCATCAAATGTACGTATGGTCTTTGAAATTGTCAAAATGTCTATATATGGTATATTAACAATATAGTTCATGGCTATTTTAATATGTTCTATAGAATTGAGATTAAAGCTAAATCCTGGCATTAATATTGCTAAATTATTTCCACTGATATCCAGTGTTTTAAGTTTTGTAGATTGCAAACCTTTGAAAAAGTGCCTTTGCAGAACAAATGTGTTCCTATCATTCCTTATGTTTACTCTTGCTATGTTTAGCGATTCTATCTTCCTTGATATTCCTTTAAAGGCTTTGACTAAAGGTGAAGTCATTCGCATTGTCAGATGGCGATTATAGCTTAAATCTAATTCCCGTAGATTATCCAATTTACAAAATGTGCATTCAGCTATACGTTTCAGTTTGAGATCACTCAGGATAAGTCTTGTCAAATTTGGAATAGAACCAAAAGTTTCATTTGTAAGATATTGTATTTCATTACTTTGAATGTTGATAACAGACAGTTGTTCAAGCCCAGCAAATATTCCTGGTGTAATATCAGCAATTCTGTTGTGAGAAAGGTCCACAATGCGTGTGTTTCTGGGCAGCCGAGGAATTGCATTTAATGATCTTGCCCTACAATCTACATATAACCCTTGATTCTCACTGTTAGTGTTACATGTGCACTCCCCTGGGCACAAATTAGAATGTACTTTTTCAACATTGCCAGTCTGTTCTAAAAGTTGTTTTGAATTATCATCTTTATTTTGTTGGAGATGTTCATGAAGAGTGTTGTCTCCAGTAAAGTTGTTTCTAGTGCTATAGCTGGTCTGCCCAATGTCCCTTTCAGCTCTACCATGAAGAAGCATAGTTGATAGGCCATGACTATGCAGGAGTATGGTTAGGACTACTGAAACAACTACTGCTGTGCAATTGTGTCCTTGTGATGCCATGTTCTTTATCAGGCATGAATGGAACCCTTTTATTAAGTAATCTGCAACAAAAAGACATTAATTAAATTCAAAATTAAAACTTATAGAAAAAGACCTCTTATTAATAGTATTTGTACATATAATTCAATCATTCAATCTGTAACACCTTGTCTTTCTGCCAACACCAGAAGATGGATCATATGGTTATACTTAATCAGGGGATTATAAACCCATTAACCAAAATTCCAATTACCAGGGAATGGCATACACACAAAGACAAAGAAATGTCATACCCATTGTAAGAGTTAGAAATTACCAAGGAATGCCATACTCAGACTAGAAATTACCAAGGAGTGGTATATACAGGGTGTCCCGAAAGTATGGGGCCCCCCCTAGGCAGACATATACCAGTGTCCTCATAGTATGTGTCATATATCATTTTAAAGCTTATACAAAGTTACATTGATTCGTCAAGTATCATGGTTCAACTTTCAAATGTGAAAAAATTACAGGCATTTCAAAATTTAGTGTTTGGTCAAAATTAAGTTCAATTTTACACCAAATCAACAGTCAATGTGTCCTCCCGGGCCATCTTAACAGCAGCAATTCTTTTCGGGTCGGAGGGATATTGAGTTGGAAAAAGAGAATGGTGAGGGTAGAAACTCTAAGGAAACTGTTCTAAAGTCCCTTAACAGGTTTTAAGAGGGTTATAAAATTCCACATCCCTATTTGAAGGGCTTTTAAGGTCATATCTGAAAATAATTGCTGCTGTTAATATGCCCGAGGGGGGACACATTGACTAGTAATGTGGTGTAAAATTGAACTTTATTTTGACAAAACACTAACTTTTAAAATGAGTGTAACTTTTTCCCATTTGGGAATTAAACCATGATACTTGGCAAATCAATGTAACTTTGGATAAGCTTTAAAATGATATATGACACATACTATGAGGACACTGGAATATGTCTGCCCAGGGGGGGCCCCATACTTTCAGGACACCCTGTACATAGTAGTTATAACCAAGGAATGCCATACTCAGACTAGAAATTACCAAGGAATGGTATAATCCAATTAGAAATTACCAAGGAATGGCATACTCAGACTAGAAATATAGTAGCAATTACCAAGGAATGACATACTCACAGTAAGTATAGCCAAAATGGCAATATCCAAGTAGTAACATACATGTATATTCAGTTGTGATAATCAAAAAGGAATGGCAAGCCCATAGTGTAATAAAAAATAATAGCAATCCCACATACAGTGATAATGGCCTACATAGAGAGAAGCAAATCCTAATGAACCATTTGGAACAAATATTCAGAAAATGGTTGGTTGTTTTGAATTTTGCTGTAATATTGAAAATTCCGTAAACTAAATCCATAAAAATATTTCAGTTCGAACCATTCTGAAAAGAACATATTTCGGATTACATTACAGAGCTAAAAAGTAGAGTATTGGTAGTAACTGAAGTTTGGAACAAATGAACAGAAAGACAACTTTTCTATAGCCCTTAATATAACAGACAAACCTTGTATATTGTGGTAATGTCAGAGATATAGTCTTTAAATGAACATAACGTGACATGAGAAGTTTCATTATCTTAAGGTACCCCCCCCCCCCAACAACAACACTTTAAACTACTCGTAGATTCACATGTCTATATGTTAGAAATGATAAAAGATTTATATTCATCAATAATAGTGTATGAAGAAGATAAATGTACAATCTAAAACATATACTCACTTTCTGCTTTTGCGGCTGTGTTTCACAATGTTCTGATGTTTAAAATATGGTCTCTTGTCAGCTTGTAGTCATTGTGTTTATTTGAAAGTGGTATCAATTTACAAACTGAACAAACATTAGTGCATGTCACAGTGATCTATTTCTAGAATGAGAAAAGTGGAAGTTAAAGTTTATATTACACCCACTTATATATCACAGACACTTAATCTATTGTTCATTGTATGATTCAATATCATGATTATGTCTTAAAGGAAATGGAACTAAATTTTAATTGAAATCATTGGCCTCATTTTGATATAAGTATGACACATGGTATATTTGAGATTTGTTTTTTTTTACAGTTGTGCTAATATAAAAGTGTACAACTTTTTATATGGTTTGTTTACATTAATAAATGGAATGAAACTTAAATCAATTTAGTTAGTTCATATTAATTTGAAATACATTTTCAAAATATTGAGTACTAGTCTGTAAAAATGGAAGGAAATACTCTCAAGGTCAATACTAAGTGACACTGGAACTCAATTGTTTTCAAAGTTAGAGAAACTTAAAAACAAAGATCATGTTTCAGTTACTCTGAGTTCCCAGGGGTTTTCTGCTGTTAACATCGCTTCAAATCACATGCTGTAAAATGAGCCTGGAGTAAAAATATGATTATGATTAGCCACATGTGACAAAGACAAATACTTCAGAAAAAATATCAATGGCTCTTGGTTTTATCTAAAATGTTGATTATATGTAACTCTATATACTCTAATAGTAGCCCTATTTGCAAGGGATGTGATCATATGATGATAAAATAATAAAAAGATAATATCAAGGAAATACACGAGACAACAATTGTAGAACACAAACAAAAAAATCTGATTATGTTGACCTTTGGTTGTTAAGTACCAAAGCAATCAGATCATTACATCTCTAATTATAACGATAATTGAAAAACTTTACAGATGCAAAATGTCCCTTGCATGTCATTATCACCAAGATGCATGCAAATAGATGGATTAAGAGAATGATCAATGATAAAAATAAAAGTAATAATGTTTTGTGTTAGCTTACTTCCTTAACTGATGATAAAGTGATCTAGTACTAACCTGCATCATAAAGTAGGAAATGTTGTATTATATTAGTGAGAGGTAGGTTTGTAGTGTGAACCATCACATGAAGTCATTTGATTACAACATGGGTGTAACAGTATCATTTTTTATGTGATTCATGATATCAACACTATCTGAGTCCTATTCAACATTTTCAAGTAATTCCTTGAGGGGATTTTCTCTAGAGGTGTCAAGTATTAACCGGTTAACCGGTTAACCGCCGATAATGCCTTGACCGGTCTGAGTTTTTATGGGCGGTTAGTTGACCGTGTATAATTCTGTTATTTCCCGCGCTTATTTTGCATGCTAATCCGTTTGGTTTTATGGTGTCAGTTTCACGTAAGCTACTCATACATGTCATAAGTCCCATAAGTCCTTACAAACATCCAATCAGCAACTTTAATCCCTGCCACATTGCTTTCCCGCGCTTACTTTGCATTTTAATCTGTTTGTTTTTCAAGCGTCAGTTTCATGTGAGCTACTCATACATGTGATAGGTCCGATAATTCCTTACAAACATCCAATCAGCAACTTTAATCCCTGCCACATTGCTTTCCCGCGCTTACTTACATAGAATAGCGTAAAGCTTGACGAACGTAAAAATAAACGCCGATATATCATTTTTCCAATTTTTTCAACTTTCAAGATCGAAGATGAAGATTTCATTTGAAATTATAAGTTCAAATTTCCCGCCGGTTAACCGACTTTAACCGGTAAAACCCCCCGGTTAACCGGTTAATGCTCAAGCGGTTAATTGACACCACTAATTTTCTCATTCTGATAAATGAACACATGTATCAACATGTATTATTTCGAAATGATCATTATTCATTTAACATACAAAAGCTGCACCTTCGAGCATTACAGATATTTTACATCTTGAAAATGGAGACTTCAGTAGATATTTTTCCTAAATACCAGTGATATGATACAAATTGTTTTGAGCTATTGCTACATCATAAAAGAAATGCCAATCTGCCATTTTTATGAGTTCCTTGAAATAGCTTTATTTGTGTCAATTTCTATGAAATTCTATTGCTATTTCTATGAAAAATAATTTTGGCAAATTTATTCTGATATTTTAGCATTATGATCTTTGATTTGACTGTGAATACAGTCTAATCACGTCCCTGGATGTTTAAAACAATATATATGGCTTGTACCATATACTACAGATTAACTTTGGTAGGTTGAACCAGGCATATTCCCATTCAAAACTACTTCATTTGTTTAACTTTTCTTTTAAATGATTAACATCTGTGTCACAGGTCCCATGATTTGCGGTAGGTCACTAGTTTTTTTATTATATTTTTGTAGCTGTTTACCTGAAAATATCATGTGACTCATCTCATTTTCATCATATAGAAATGTTTTATTGCAAAATAATAGTAATCTATAAAATAAATAATATTTGTCAGAACCTTTTTTAAAGTGGACAAAAAGAATAAACGCTTGAAAAGGTTTCAATAACATAAATGATGTATTTTTTTACTTCATGATCTATCATGATGGTACAATAACATTAAGATGATGATAACCTTTGTATGAACATCGGGTAAAACACCTAGAATTATAACCATCATTTATGAGCTCCAGACATGAGTATATGCATTGCATTTGCATGGAACATTTAAGCAACATATTCTTATAATACATTTACCGTATATAGACTTATCAATTAGACGACATCCAGGAAGGTCATCATATTAAAAAACATGGAATTAATATGTGGAACCCACTTCAAGCATTCAATTCATATTGATCAATATTGTATAAAACAATATCATTAATTCTTGGAAGGCCTTAATATCGACACAAAATTATATTCAACCATAAGCAACAAGCTGGTAAATAAATGTAAGTATAACATTTGTGAAATACATGTAAAGATCAAATAATATAATATCTCACACTATTCCATCATTTGCGGCAATGTCAAATAATTTTTCTCTAACAAAACATGCAAGCAAAGCTTCATCCAGGCACCAACAGTCATTGCAGTTTAAAGAGTTCAACTAAGTGGAGCACCCAGCCAAAAGTAGCTGGGGAGACCACAGGGTAATCTGTACAATTTGTTGGATCAGTGATTTTCCTTAATTGAATTTTTCTGTATTTTATGTGAATCTTTGAATAACAAAGAGTTATTAAGCATTCATGAACTGTATTTCGAATTATTTTCTTTCAGATTTAATTGAAAAAGAAAATGCGAAAAGAGTGGATATTTCTTATACTAATGGGATGTATTATCTCAATAGTAATACTCTTTCATTTAAGTAAATATAGCACAACAATTCAGCACCATTGGAGAGCACATATTCCAAGGAGAACTAATACCGCTATGGCAAGCAATATGTCAATTGCAAACAACCTACAACCACAAGCACCACACAACATTGACTTCATTCAGAGAAACAAGGAACTTATTGACAAAATCAGCAAGAATTCGAGACACAACATTCCAAGAAACAACAAACTTATTGACAAAATCAGCAAGACTTTAATAAGCAACATTACAAGAAACAAGGAACTTATTGACAAAATCAGCAAGACTTCGAGACACAACATTCCAAGAAACAACAAACTTATTGACAAAATCAGCAACACTTTAATAAGCAACATTACAAGAAACAAGGAACTTATTGACAAAATCAGCAAGACTTTAATAAGCAACATTACAAGAAACAATGAATTTATTTACAAAATCAGCAAGACCTCAATACGCAACATTACGAGAAACAACAAACTTATTGACAAAATCAGCAAGACTTTAATACACAACATTATGGGAAACAATGAACTTATTGACAAACTCATCAAGACTTCAAGACGCAACATTCCGAGAAACGACGAAAGAGACATAACCAACAATCAACTCCCTATGACATATAATGATAGTAGAGTAAAGATATCACAGCAAAGGAACAGCCTACCCCCTGAGCTGGTAGAAGTCAAAGCAAGAGCACAGATGATCGCAAACAATAAAGTTGTCGTTGCAATCACTATGGTTAACATGGGATACCTATCACTAACCTATAGCTGGCTATGTAACACAGTCAATATGAACGTACATGATAATGTCCTTATTGTAGCTACAGATAGGAGAACTTATGAAAAACTCCAGCAAGACTGGCCAAATGTTGCCTCTGTCTTATACCCACTAAATGAAGACCAGGGGTCAAACTTAAATTACAATGCTCTTAACTATGTCAAGTACATGTTAAATAGGTCCAACTTATTGCTAGCTTTGTTGGGCTTCAACATACCATTGTTATTGTTTGAAGTTGATGCTGTGTGGTTTGCATCACCGTTTCCACTAATTCATAGTCTCTCTTACTATGATCTAGTAGGAGCAAAAATTGCAACCACAGAACAAATGGCTGGAGGTTTTCTTTTCATGCAACCCACTAGAGACACATTAAATGTATTTACGACCGTCTCAAATGAATTACAGATATATCTGGATAGATATAAATTCTATAAGGGTGATAGACAACTCCCCTATGAGATCAATGAACAAACACTTTTAAATGGAAATCTGAAATATGAAAATGGAAGGCCAAGACTTAATTATAAAATCTTAGACCTTAGCATTGTGGCTGATGGACAGTGGTATAAAAAAAGAGGTAAACAATCAATACCATTAGTTTTAAATAACAATTGGATTATAGGTAAAGAAGCAAAGATAAAGAGAGCGAAAAAATTTCACCATTGGTTTATTGATGATAACAACAACTGTGATTGGGAAGAGGTTCAAAATATAATGAAGTTAGGGAAAAATTTTCATTGAGAATGTCAAAGTTATTGAAAGTGAATGTAAAACCTTTATCCCATACTTAGTAGTGTTATAGGTAAATAACATGTGGGGATATAATCGATATCTGAAGTGAGCGGGTGATATAATATATCTCCCGCTGAGGTCAGTGGGAGATATATTTTTGTGAATCCACACCCAGTTGAATTAAGTTGATTCACTGAGCCCACTGTGGCTTATGTATGATGTTATGATACTTGTGAAATACTGCCATGAGTGTTGCTACTAGCTATAGGGCAGATAGGGCTTATTTTGATAGGCTCATTGTAGCTATAAATTCTTGATTGGAATTTATGGATTCAATTTTGGAAGATGAGCCTAAAACCTAACGATAAGGCGAAATTGTATAACAGATTGAAAGGAATAAAGCAAAATAGATGAAACATAACTCTATCAATTTTAATATACAAATGAAATCTTACCTCCATTTTCGAAGAGTATGCATGAGACCTGTGTAGCCTAGCGCAGATGCCATATGTAGAATAGTTAGACCTTTCTCTGCAGTCATATGAACCGTGCTGTTTTTCTGCCATGTACATTGGATAAATGAGTCGATATAACACATCAACTTTTCCTCGAAATGATCATGAGGTTGACTGATCAGTTTGTCATGCTGCAAAAAATTATAAAAATTTATTAGTTTGTTGCTTCAATTCATGGTTGATTGAATCCACGCCCAATTGAATAGTTGATTCACTAAGCCCACTGTGGCTTATGTATGATGTTATGACACTTGTGAAATACTGGCATAAGTGCTGCTACTAGCTATCGGGCAGATGCTCCACCAAAATTTACACATCAAATATTTTGAATATTTTACTGACTAAAACTGGCAAAATCATATCCAACAGAAGTATAATAATATTCTCTTTTGATTTAGTTCTACCTCATCTATCTTATTTTGCTTTGCATAAATAAAACATATGTTCATAAGTTTAGGTCTACACAGAACATGTTTTACTTAATTACGATTCAAGCCATTGTGATCCCCCTATGTATTACACTCACATCCATGAGAGAATAGATAAAGGTTTAGAGGGTTCCAGTGACTTGATGCAAACTAGGTTCTGATGTATTAAAAGATGGCAGTAGTAGCCAGATTTTGCCAAGGGGGTTCACTTTTAAAAGTTTCGAGGAGATTCTAATTTGACAACTTTTGGCCCAAAGTCACTTGAAAAGTGCTCAGAATGGTGAATTTTGTCTAAAGGGGAATTCGCTCGAAATTCCCCCCCCCCACTAAGGGGATGTCAGCTCTCTTAGTACAAATAGAACACTACTGACACCTTTACTACAGTCCCTTTGGTTACACTGACCTGTAAAACATGTTCAGGGTTCCTGGGTGACAAGCGCTTCTCTAGTGCTTCAACCTTCTCCAGTAAGAGCATTTTCAGTTTATTATCTAGAAATATAAACCAGTTAAAAACATCATACCATACTGTCTTCTCCAAAAGGTTTTTCTTTTCTCAAGGGGATCAGCTAGTCTCATTTTCAAAGTTCTGCCATATTTGGTCAAAACATACAAAGCATATTTCATGAGTTTTTCAGATTTGTATGTGGGTGCAACTGGGTTTTCACTATATAGATTCAATTTACCAGTTCAGTATCTATGCCTTACTGACAACTGTCCTTTCTCTATAGATATACTTATAAAAACTACAGATATAATATACTACAGGTATAGTAAAGATATAATTATTATGCAACTTTGGGATTTTCAGTTAATTTAGTTGATTGTTCTATTCTCTGTGAAAAAATATTGAATTCCAAGCAGATTATAAAAAAATTATAGCAAGATAAAAAAAGGATGTTTTTTGGTCCACCCTGTATATATGCAAAAGTACTTACCACCAATAGAGAACCAGTCCAGCTGGTTGGTAGATATTGAATCAGTAGCCTTGTACTCATATATACATGAGTTTGATATAACCATTCCCTCACACGCCACCTGCATTGTCACTAGACCTGCTTCATGAGCTGGAATTGAGAACATTGATCATGGTTATTATTATACATTGTAAGGCCAGGTAGAATCTAATAATGTGACCCAAGCCAGCCATATACCAGTAGAAGGATGGGAGTCGGTTGAGTTGAGGTTTTTAACACTTTGAACACTAAAATTTACAATGACCACCAGACATAATACAAAGACACAGTGATATATGTCGCACAATGAAGAGCAAAATTGCCACTGTGCACATTCACCCAGCATGCCCCCAGAACCTAATGATAATAACTAGATCTTGGCACTAGTCTTTTTGCATCTGTAAAGATTTATGTGGCACCCATCTATCCAGACGCATGCATGCCGAGCAGCACAGGACAAAGATAATAGAGTACTTTTCCAAATTGCATTAAAAAGTTGGAATTGAAGGTGTACATGTATTTATTCAAGTCTAACTTTGAGTAATTAAGGTAAAAGAATGTATGCTATGATTGTAATTTTTTCACTTAATATATCAATTGAATACAACATGAATTGGGTATTACCACATCAGTTTTGACACACAGAAATTGTTTAACAGACATCGATGCTTTCTACATTAATGCTTTCTCCCAGATAAAATTATAATAATTAATCTGTAATTCACAAAACTGCAACAACGTCTTTTTCTTATTTCTAATTAGGATTAAAAACTTTTGAAAGAATTGTTTTTTCTAAATGAAATAGCACTTGATATGCATTTTATAAATTAACATTAAAATTAAATGAACATTAAAATGCAACATTATTTTTAAATTAAGATTACCATCTTTTGCAATTAGCGTTAAATGTATTTCATCAAAAACATGGTGTTTATACATAATTCATTAAACTAAATCATTCCTTTCTGATATCAACAAAATTTACGATGTTCATCTTGCCAATAGTTGGATAACTTTTTATTAGAATAAGCAGTTCAAACTCTTGAGGCACAGACAGCCAAAGAGTTATTGTTTGCTAAATAAAATGGAACTTCAAACATTCCTTCTGCTCCTATTGCTGACTGTTCAGTACTCTTATTGCGCTAACAACAAATTGAAAAGTTGTCAGGCTAAGTTAAAAAGGCTACAAAATGATTACAATGTACTGAAAGTCGCCGGACAATGTACATGCAATTGTGAAGGCATCAAAGGTCTTCCAGGGCCAACTGGACCCCAAGGACCACAAGGGCCTCCAGGACCAACAGGGCCTCAGTTGCCTACGACGTGTCCTCATGATTTTGTCCAAAATTCTGAGTTTGGAAGTTGCTATAAGTTATTCACGGTGGAACCTTTCAGTTGGATTGATGCGCTCAGTCACTGCCAGTCAATGGGAGCGAATCTCGCTATGATCGAATCAAACGAGGAACAAAATTTCTTAAGGGAACAAATACAGCAGAAAAATAATCTCGAAAATTTCTGGATTGGACTAAATGAGCTCCATGGTAACTGGAGTTGGTCTACCATGCCTGGTCAGGAAAATGAACCATTGGGGAAGGACAGCTACCACAGTTGGAATGTTGATGAAGGACAGCCTGAAAACAATGATCAGAATTGCGCCAAGATGGCTGGAGGCACAAGTACAAGAAATTATAGATGGCATGATGATTTATGCACGAGCAAAGATAAGTACATCTGTGAAATAAAACTTAACATAAAACAGAAGTAGGTTAAAATCATCAAACTTGGTTAGCCATATGATTGAAACAATTAAGTGTTAACCGAAAAAGGTGATGGTGTATCTAACAAATTGGGACGTAAACAAGAAAATGAAGCAAACTCCTCATAGTGGAGATCTCCAAGTCAAGAAGTTGCCCAGCTTAGGCCCTGAAACATCAATTGATTATCCCAGTTGTTTTATGATAACTGATTCATTATTCATTGAAACCAAAGAGCAAGGCACTGAACAAAACTATATGCTTGTTTGCTTTGTCGTTGGTTAGGTAACATGCCTATGATGTCACAAAAGATACAAAGATACATTAAACCAGTCAGTGAGGTCTAGAGTATTTGTTTGTTTGGTTGTTAATATGGCTGATTTATGGCGCAATATATGACCAAAAACTTTATTGTGTTCATTGTTAAAAGACCGAAATTGCGTGGTCATTTATTTGCAATAAATCATAAAATCGAGGTCTTTGTTACGATTCTAATATGATAATAAACAGAGAAGAAAAACAACTATTTCCATTTATGAATTTTAGAGGTCATACATACTCCAATATAGATGAGTAAATCAATTGTTCTAGCTATTGTGGCAACACGTATCATGTTAGAATTGACGTTATATATAATGAATCAGTATTTTTTTAAAAGATTTATTATATTTGAATTTAAACTCTAAAAATCGATCAGTTGATTTAAATCAGGGTAGAAGGAGGTGAAGAAGTGAATGAATACAGGAGCAAACACGAGCAATGGATCGAACGCTCTCGCAAAGTAGTCGCTGTCAGAGGAGATTTCTCCAAAAAAAGATTTAGTTACGAATTCGCATATCAATTGTTGTAATCATGGGTAAAATGATGTCACAGTTAGAGAGCAATGGGATAAATAGAAATTGAACTAATATTTCACATAATATTTCAGTTGAATTCAACCGAAACATGACAACATCAGGTTGGACATACAGAAACTGATCAATAGCACTTGTCATACATTTATTGCATTCCCCAGACAAAATTAATCTGTAATTCAATAAAACTGCAACAACATGTTTTTCTAATATCTAATTAATATTAAAAACTTTTGCTAGAACTGTTGTTTTCTAAAAGAAATAGCATTTAATTTGTAATTTAAAAATTAATGATAAAATTAAATGAACATAAAAATGAAACATGTTTTGTTAAATTCTTCTGGAATTTGTGTTATTTCCTCAAAAAGCGCATTTATTCATAATTTATAACTCAGACTGCATCATGCCTTTCTGACAACAAAAAAATTTACGATGTTTATCTTGCCAACATTTAGAGAACTTTTCATTACAAGAAGCATTTCAAACTCTTGAGGAACAGACAGCAAAAGGGTTATATTTGCTGAATAAAATGGAACTTCAAACATTCCTTCTGCTCGTATTATTGCTGATTGTTCAGTACTCTTATTGCGCTAACAACAAATTGAAAAGTTGTCAGGCTAAGTTAAAAAGGCTACAAAATGATTACAATGTACTGAAAGTCGCCGGACAATGTACATGCAATTGTGAAGGCATCCAAGGTCTTCCAGGGCCAACTGGACCCCAAGGACCACAAGGGCCTCCAGGACCAACAGGGCCTCAGTTGCCTACGACGTGTCCTCATGATTTTATCAATAGTACCGAGTTTGGAAGTTGCTATAAGTTATTCACGGTGGAACCTCTCAGTTGGATTGATGCGCTCAGTCACTGCCAGTCAATGGGAGCAAATCTCGCCACGATCGAATCAGATGAGGAGCAAAACTTCCTAAAGGAACAAATACAGCAGAAAAATAATCTAAAATATTTCTGGATTGGACTAAACAACCTCCATGGTTACTGGAGTTGGTCTACTATGCCTGGTCAGGAAAATGAACCATTGGGGAAGGACAACTACCACAGTTGGAATGTTGATGAAGGACAGCCTGAAAACAACAATCAGCACTGTGCCGAGATGGATGCAGCCAAAAGTGGAAGGAATTATAGATGGCATGATGATCACTGTATGTACAAACATACTTACATCTGTGAAATGAAACTTAAGTAAAATGAAGGCTGATAAGTAGTCAGGTGAATAATCTACAAAAGTAGGTTAAAAATCATGAAACTTGGTCAGCAACATGATTGAAACAATTTACTGTTAACTGACAAAGGTGATGGGCTATCTGACAAATTGGACATTTATATACATTGTGTTACATATAAAATGGTGCAATATAACCTGGCAAATTGCCTTCTTTCATGACAAGCTTATCATTTATATGTCGATAAAATATCAGTTTGCAATATATCTTGATGATATGCTGTAGCAATCCTGTGTTTTTATAGTTTTCTCCAATTGGCAAACAAATAGATTTATAGAGTCTAGATTGGAACACAAATGATTCCTAAGCTCGTATCATGTTTCATTCATATGATAACCATAACAAAGGGTCCATTTCTTTATTTTGAAAAAAAAACAACTTTATATTTATTATATCCACAGTAAAATACCTCACTCAAGTGACAATCTGGTGTTTTAATGACAAACATGTAAAATGGCAATAACAATATGTCATATGTCCCCACTTCAGACTTCTTGGTGGTGACATAAAAATGTTATTTTTCTAATACGATAAGTGACATCACAATATAAATATAATAACAAACGAAGTCTTCAATATACATGTACCTACAATACATATCATATTCTCTGTAACTTTGAAATGAAACTATCTTTTAAAATACAATGTATTTGCTTTTAAGTTTGCTTATTGTATTAGAAATATAACAAAGGATTAAATTAATCATGACAAATATTTTCTACCCATTGCCAAAAACCCCAATTGCTTCATGTTTTCGATCTCTTAAAGTGTGCGCCAAAGTTTGAAACTGTGCAGGCGCACCGCTCTCGCTAACCTATATAAAGAGATTACCAGGTACAGGCTTCAGAGGTAAGCCAGGAAGGTGAACAATCTTCGTTCTGTGTTGATTCCCCGTATAATCGTAACCAAGTAAGTTTCACCATTGAAATTAAAAAATACTATTAGATAAACTTTGTAGATGTTGTTTATGAAGCTATTTAGTGTATGCATCCAGTGGCGTAGTGTGGGTATTTTATGAGTGTACGCCACGAGTGAGCGAATCGAACTAGCTTTGAGGGGGGGGGGTTCTTTCCCCCAAGAAAATTTGAAAAGAGATTGTATTTGAGGCGTTCTGGGGCGTTTTAAAATACGAAATTTGGACTCCGAAAAAATGGATTAATAAAATGTTAAGCCATTACTTCAGAATATCAAACGTGGGTCATTTCAATATTAAAAATTCACTTTTCTCAAAATTTTGAGAGTACGCTATGGCGTTTTATGCGTATATGACGCTACGCCACTGGCATCAATCAAATGGCTCATTTTGAACATATAAAAAGTATTTGTGTTTTGTTTCCCAGGGAATTGTATTCCAATGTAGTACACACATAAATAGTGTACATTATGTAGGACTTGAATAGCCTGGTTTACATAATATTGAAGGGCATGCTGATTACATGCACACGAGTACATGAATGAAGGCCTAATATTGATATAGCTTGCATACCTAAATAAAAATAAACTCTTCTAATCCCCTAATGTAAACACGGCAGTATACGTAGCCCGATTCATCGGGGACTTTAACAATGATCCGAAAAATTCAGCAGTTATATATTGCGCCACATCATAGAATTATTCCTAAGTAAAGGCAAGTATATGGACCAACCTGGGGAGAAACACCGCAGGACTCCACTTTGTATGAGTTCCGCCGGAACACTGACGTCATCAAACATGAGAGAGTAGCTAGAGTTAGTGGAATACCAGGGTCCTGTTACTAGAATCTTAGTAGAGCCCTATAACACAGAACAATAAATATTTAGAAAAAATTCAAAAAATAACAACTTGATATGAAAGGAGTAGGTTGCATTGATTAGAATATATTTCAGCAGAAAAAAATCCCTAAGTTGTACTGTATCCAAAGTCTGGTATAATACAAAGAGCTAGAGTACTACATGTTATATGTGACGGCAAAACTAAGCCATTGATTAAACAGCAATATTGTATCAGACACAAGATTATATAACAATCTTTTGACAATTAACAAATGAAATCCAACAAGAATATGAAACAACCTCCATCCTTGAAAGCTGAATCCTTACTTCAATTTCTTCTTCATGCTTCCTATAGCAAATGTCAAAATATTATAGAAACTATAATAATAAGTCTGATGTTAAAAAAATCCCTCTCTAGTTGTCTGCAAGGTCTGGTATCTTAATAAAAGAATGACAAACACAACAATGAATATTAAAACAAATATTTTATCTTCTGAGAACATCTATGCAATTTCCACAAGGAATATTCTCCAAAGCCTGAATACCTGACATACCATTCCCTTATATTTACCTGTTGAGACCCCCAATCTGGTGAAAAGTCTGTAATTGTAGCTACATTATGCATCTTGCCTCCTTGTGACGATTGTGTCATCACAGGGTGAACTTTATGCTGATGTTGCTGTTCCAGCTGTTTCTGCTGCTGTAGCTGTTGCTGCTGTAACAGATGTTCCTGTGAGGGTTTTATAGAAGGCGAGGATGGGCTCAAGCAATTGGCACAACCCTGGGTTGACAACAGAGGGCGTTGTTGTAAACTTTGAGTATTCGCCACAGACGAGAGGCTGTGTGGAGTCAAGTCCGCACTGAGATTCTCAAACTCAGGGAGATCAAGGAGTTCAAATGCGTCAAAGTTCAGATCGGTGCTGTGTGGGGACACTAAATTGGCCCTATTCATATCAATATGTTCTGAGAGACTACACGTGGTAGGGGTACTGTTGATTGTTTTAGATTCACCAAGGTTAGCCATTAACGTTTGCGTGACCTCCTCACTTGTTAAAGACTGAAGAGAGCCTGAATGACTAGGTTCGAGCCCTGCTCTTATTGGCTCATTGTTTCTTTGACATAGTTGTGATTCTTTTGGCAGCCCTATAGGAGAGGTGCTCACTGGGTTAGTAAATGTACTTGTAGGATTCAGAGTGTTGTTTTGATTGAGTGTGCCGCTGGGATTGAGTGTGCCATTGGGATTGAGTGTGCCACTGGGATTGAGTGTGCCATTGGGATTGAGTGTGCCACTGGGATTGAGTGTGCCACTGGGATTGAGTGTGCCACTGGGATTGAGTGTGCCACTGGGATTGCCACTGGGATTGAGTGTGCCACTGGGATTGAGTGTACCATTGGGAGGATTGAAAGTGGAACGAGAAGGATTAAAACTAGAAGGGAGAATATTATTCAATGGGATTTCCCTAGGGAGACTTTGAGTATCTCTAGTTTTATCTATAGCTCCCAATCTCTCATGCATTTCCATGTCTGGAGTCCTTGCTGGGCCTATGGGCACTGGGGCCTGGGGTGGCCCCATGTTGCTATTTATAATAGACACAGGGGCCTGAGTCTGACTGCTCAGAATAATCACACCATTGCCCCCTTGCAACTGAGATAAATTCAACACCAGAGGGGGCTGCTTTTGGGCACTATTATCTGCCACTTGAGTGTCCTGAGATTGCTTCTGTAACAGAGAGACTAGTTTCTTCTGTAGTACTATTGACGATACACCCTGAGATGGTTTCGACTTACAGAACTTGCAAAAGTTTGTGTGGTTACATGTACATTGTGTGCCTGCTCTACACCTCATTACCTCATCGACTATGTTTTCAATTGTCGCCACAGTCTGGAATTAAACACATTACACATGCTAATTCATAATATTATCAGTACAAAAACCATTAAGAAGTCAATCTTAACTCAATCCACATAAACATGGGAATTGCACGCTTTTTTATTCAGAAATACTAATTGAATAGATCAGATTGAAATTAAAGATCTGAAATCTAATAGTCACCCCAATATATCATGGTTCTGTTAGGGCTGTTTTTTATTATATACAATGACATCAAACATAATAATACAATTTCAATATGTGAATTATGTGATGCTTAATATGTAAAGCAAAGGCTCATTGATCATGTTCTGACCTCTGACACCAATCAGAGCTTGTCATTCCTAAATACAGAACTCAATATTTTGACACAAAAATGCCATCTACATAATATTGCATAACTTTTATTTCTTTTTATGCAATATTATGTAGGTGACATTTTTTGTGTCACCCTGTAAGTGTGGCGATCTGATTGGTAGAAAGTGTAATTGTAAAATGACTTTACTGAATCAGAGGGCAGTGAACTAGTCAAGGAGGTCAGGGTAAACTTATCTCTTAAGTGTGTATGCTTAAGATAACTAGAAGAGGTGGTCAAATATTTGAACAAATCTGATATTGTTTCTTTTGAGTAAACCTACATACAATACCATTGATCTTGTTATGAGATGTCCAATTTTCTTGAAATGTTACTTCTACAGTGTCTTGCCAACATTGAATAGTACATGTAGGTTATTCTTACATGTATGCACTGTTTGTTTATTATTTCATATTTAAGTGTTTATTTTTTCAATATATAGCACTTTTTATATATAATACAGAGTCGGTCATTTTACATACTAGTATACAATGTCACTGGACTAGCATGACTATACATCTTATCAGCTTTTTTATAAAAAGCAATTTAATATTTCTTGACATAATTGTACATGTACATGTAATTTACTTACCATTTGGCCAAACTTATTATTAAGATCATCACCAACTGAAACAAGAGAGAAAAGCAGATGTATTAACATGACGTGAAGTCAAAGTGAGCATAGTAAAATCTGAATATCCAAACACATCTCTAAACCAAACACTTTTCAATCCGAACATTTTATGATCGTATTTTTATGCTCCAATTGATTCACATGTTAAAACACCCAAATGTGCGAACAACTTCTAATTCTAACACATTTGATAGGTCCTGACGGATTTCAGTTAAAACAGGCATTGAAAGCTGTTTTGGCATATACTTTAATAGCATGCCAACTAGGATGAGACGCTGTTGGAAATTTCAAATTAACATGCCACTTTGTTCTATCAAAATCATGAAATAGATGAGATATTTTGACCTGAAACAGATAAAATAGGACTTAGCACCCAGTTGTGAAAACCACCGTTGTAACAACTGTACAGTCTGAAATGGATGATCAATCGGAAGACAAAACTCAACATCTTCTTTATTTCCATTAGCCTTATCTCACTTACACATAGGGACAAGTTGATCAATCAATTCTTGCTTGGTCCACTCCTGGTCGATGTTTTGACTAAGTAGATTTGACAGGTTCATTTTGTTTTGGTTGTTGCACGGTACATTGAGATAATGAACAAGGATGGTGTCGGGATTCTGCAGGAGCCAATAGCATCTTCGATGAAATGTCGGCAGTAACGCAGAGTGAACGTAAGATCCATAGATGCACTGAAATAAAGTTAAACAGAATTTTATCTTTCTAGTTGGGGAATTCGCAATTAATGAGACTCGCAATTCAAGATATCTCAATGCTTATTTCAACTGCTGTTGCATTTCATGATTATTAGAATAATTTTTCCGGCTGAATTTATGAGATTATAGACTAGAGTTATTTTTATCCAATAATTAAATTAGCGGGCAATTTCAAGCTTAATGAAGTAGGAATTAACAATCATGAACATCAATCATTCCATTTCAAATTGCGATTAACTGAAAATCTTTCCGTGAAAAATTCCTATTACTACATCAGAGTGTTGTTGTAATGGTTAAATGTTTGATGAACATTTCTGCAGACCAGTCTGTTTAAAAAGAGTATGGGAAATGGGGTTAATGTCACATTTCAGTATGAGAGACAGGAGGCTATGGGGGGGGGACATAAAGAGTTCAGTGTTGATGAAACAAGGGGTTATAGTGCTGCATATTAACTGGGAAGAATGTGAGCTAATTTATAAGGCAGCTCAGTAACAAACTTGACAAAATCCTAATGGTTTTTCTGGCTTGTACAAGTGAAAGACTATGGAGATGGACTACGGGAGCAGTAGATTGACAAATTGGGGAATATGCATAGGGAGTCTAGGTGGTTATCGGGAAAGCATGTGGGATTGTGGGGAACAAAGAATTACAAAATTATCATACATTTTTTTCGATATCTCAATTACCTCAACTCCCTGAACTTTCAGTTTCATGTGATCCTCCCTGGTAGTCTTGCCATCACGACGTTTTATCCAATAATAGCCATCCTTCCTGTACCGCACTTTCTTGCGGCAGTACATGAACATTGAGCCACTTGTAGGTCTGAAAGATCAACATTATCATCTTTATTGTAATGTTTCAACTTTATTATTCCAATGACATTTTCAAACTGTATAATGTAATTATGTCATGGTATGGATCAGAGACAGGGGCATAACATGTAGTATTTCATACTTGAGTGGGTTTGGGGTAGATATCACCCGGGAATATATATCATATCTGAGGAGCGGGCAGGATATATTGTATATGTCCCGCTCTAGGCCAAATGCGGGCAGATATAATATATCCATCCCGCTCCCGGGAATTTTTTCAAAAGTTTAAAAATTTTAAAAATTTAAATTTCAGAAGTTTAAAATTTTTCAAAAAGTTTAAATGTAACAATTCTATTGTATTGAGCTGAAGAAATATTATGAAAATGTTAAATATAAATTGTGCTTTTACAGTATAGGCCTATCTTGTCATTTGAAATGGTGGAAAAGGTTATATCTACCCCAAACCCACTCAAGTATGAGATACACCAGTTATGTACGGTCGGTTTTGGATACAGTGTTTATCCCGCGGGAAATATGTGTATCTCCCTCGGTCCCTCGTGAGATACACATATTTCCCTTGGGATAAACCCTGTATCCAAAACCTCCCAGTACATAACCCTTATATATCCCATACCTAGTGAGATTCTACATACATAACAGGCAGGGATATATGTGTATCTAGAAAGTGGGACAAATATAACTTTCCTACAAGGTCCAAAACATAAAGCTGTTTCTATGTATCTATAAACTTTGAAAAATATTTTTTTTTAAATGTGTGTTAACAATAATTCATCACTTCATTGCTGTTGGCATATCAAAATGCAATAAGTTAGGCATATTTTATGAAGACATGTCTACTAACCTAATAGAGACGGATGTCCTACACCAATCAGCATGTTTGTCAAAGGCAACCAATATTGCAGCTAGTTCCTTAAACACAAGGCATTCAATGATACACAAGAACACAAATGTGTACAAAATGTCCCCACCAATGGGTGATCCCATCAAATGGTTATCCTGAAAATGAGTAGACAAGACTTTACTGACACAATTTGAGGATGGAAAATCCAAGATGGCCGCCTTAAAATTTACCCAGAATCCCCCAAAATTAGCTAGTTCTAGATTTTCATACTAAGAACCACCCCTGAAAATTTGAAATTGATCTGTCAAACAGTTAAACAAGACTTTACAGACATGATTTTAGGATGGAAAATCCAAAATGGCTGCCTTGACATTTACCCAGAATGTCAAAAATCAGTTCTACATTTTCATACTAAGAATCATCCCTGAAAAGTTGAAATTGATCTACCAAACGATTCACCTGAAAACGCGTAAACAAGACTTTACAGACAAGATTTTAGGACAGAAAATCCAAAATGGCTGCCTTGACATTTACCCAGAATGCCAAAAAACTAATCAGATCTAGGCTTTCATACTAAGAATCATCCCTGAAAATTTGAAATTGATCTAACATACGGTTCACCTGGAAATGCGTAGACAAGACTTTACAGACAAGATTTTAGGACGGAAAATCCAAAATGGCTGCCTTGACATTTACCCAGAACGCCAAAAAAACTAATCAGATGTAGATTTTCATACTAAGAATCATCCCTGAAAATTTGAAATTGATCTACCATACGGTTCACCTGGAAATGCGTAGACAAGAATTTACAAACAAGATTTTAGGACGGAAAATCCAAAATGGCTGCCTTGACATTTACCCAGAACGCCAAAAAACTAATCAGATCTAGATTTTCATACTTAGAATCATCCCTGAAAATTTGAAATTGATCTACTAAACGGTTCACCTGAAAACGTGTAGACAAGACTTGACAGACAAGATTTTAGGACGGAAAAAACCAAAATGGCCGACAATAAAAAAGTGATTATGAGTTTTTGCTGATTTCCTTTTACAAAATTATCACATATAACTACTGTTAACAATAACATAGGCTTTTTCAACAAAGTACACCTGAAATTATTTATAAAGCTACTAAATAGTTAAAGTATGAAAACTCAAAAACACCATTCAATATGATACAAAGTATTATCGCGCGCTAACTTTTCTTCAGACATTCAAAATGGCTGACATGACTGAGCTAACAGGTCCAAAACCTAATCAGATGTAGAATGAAGTGAGCTGAACAAGATATTAAAGTTTTAAAAGCAACTGGGAAGCCGTTTTTCTTAAAGTTTGCAGACAAGGATTTTAGCATTTGACCTCAAAATGGCCGACAGGAAGTAGCTATCAAGTTAATTTTTTATCATCCACATCTGTATGCACTCCCAAGTTATTCCTGAAAATTTGAAGGTGATACCTGTAGCGGTTTTGGAGAAAACTGCCGGACGTACGGACGGACAGACAGACAACCAGACAGACGGACGGACGGACGGACGGACGGACGGACGGACGGACGCGCCTAGGACGACAATATGGCCCCACACTATGTGGTGGGGACATAAAAATGATCTGAGTATTTTCTGTTTGGCACATTTAAGGGTTCAAATAATATTGTACATTGGCTAAATTAATACATGGTACACATTATTACTGTTACAGAACAGTAATAAAATTTCTATAATTTCATGAGTAAAGAAAAAATATATCTCCTATTTGGGACAAATACACTATTAACAATATTCATGACATTTTGAGAAAAACAGTCTGATTAATAAAAGCATTTGAACCATTAGCATTTGAATGAAAAATTACAAATGAGAGCATTAGGAATCAAAATAACAGTTAACGATAGCATTTCTCAGAATCAATTTCTTTAAAGCCTTGAATTTGGTTAGAAATAACATAGTGTACCTCGTTACTGTTCCAGCTATGACGATGTGAGGCTAGCGCCTCAGAAGGTGTCACATGCTCCAGCTGTTTTGGTAAGATAATAAATGGACGGTCTCCATCTGAAAATACATGTAAAAATTCATCTGAAAATATATGCAAAATTTTGTTTGAAAATACATGTAAAAATGAATCTGAAAATATATGCAAATTACTTTGTCTGAAAATACAACCAAGTAAAATTCATGAGGAGTTATATTTTGAAATTTCGCTAGATTCATTGTGTTCATTGTGTAATTGCATGTGTCATTTTGTTCCAATAACGGTTAGATAGATATTTCATTTCATTCCAATGAATTGGAAGAAAAGAACAAAACATAATTATACTAAAAAACAATAGCTCACTGTGTGAGATAAAAATGATTGTCTCAAACGATTATACAATACATATATAAAAAATTGTCATATCAAAATGTTGTCAATTGACAACCATTACATTGAGGATGTGAATCGTTTGAGAGAAAAACAATGTCAAATTTAGTTCAACAAATCACATCCCATCCTTTAATTTGAAATTCTCCTGAATGATGAATAAACATTTCTATCTAATCTAACTCCCTTTATAATTCCCTCCATTTGTAACTGCATCAATAATGTTTATTTAGTCTCGGGTAAAATGACAGCTTTGCAGTTGTAATAGCATTTCAGAGAATCTGGGGACTAGCTTGTCTAATTGATTAAAAGCCTGGGATTGGCCTTGAAATGAACTACTGGTTGAATAGTGATGAAAGTATCTGAATTAAATCAAGTATTATCAACTAACTAGAGTGCTGTATTGACGAAGAAATCATGTGTTTATTTCACCAGTTGTCGCGGTAACACACTATTGTGCAGATCACTAAAGGCAATGTAAGGAAAACAAAGAAAACATAAACAGCCAATAAATATTAATCATTGTTGAATCAAAACCACAATAAATGTACAATTCTAGCACAACAAGCTGATATCCCATGCCAGTAGGACACCAGCCTACAACTCAATCTGTTAACTAGTATTTGAGTTATCACCCAGACAGAAGAACGAACAATTTGAACAAATGAAAGAACGAACAAATAATAAAAACGAGCCAACAAAAGAATGGACTATATATACAATATATCTATAATGTTATTTAACTGACTAAGAGCATGAAAAATGGAAGTTAAAAAGATGGTTAACATAATTAGACACCTGATATGTGGGGTTGGATACTGACATTATTCAATAGGGCCAAAATCTCAGTAGGCCTCCCTTAAAACTCATCCTTCTTGCCTCCCTTAAAACTCATCCTTCTAGGCCTACCTTAAAACTCACTAAGGCCTACCTTATAATGACAAGTAGCTATTACAGTAGAAAGCATTTCATATCATCTTTTCTCCATTCATAAAGTTAAACGGAGTCCAAAATCATGAACACGAAAGCTGAAACTGTCATCGTTCTAACACTTGCTTATATGTGATACATTTTTTTATTCTTGCTTTTATGTAAAAAAACCCATCTCAATCAATAAAACATAGCCAATAAATGTCAGTGGTATCAAATTATCACTCTGTTCAACCATTTTAGTTCATACCTATTACAAGAGCATCTAATTTCTGTGTAACCCTGCTCCAGGGTTTTGCAAATCAAGGTGAATGAACTGCACAGGGAAAACTTGTAGCACAAATGCATGACCACTAATTACCAATAGCAGCTTCATCGTACACTCGTTAAATTCTTTGATCAAATCTATATCAGACTTCATACTCAGAAAGAAAACATCTTCTAAACTGTTCTGCATTAAAGTCAAACTTCTATAAAATGCCATTAAAGATCCATTTGAGATTTTAAGATCTTGTCAGTATCAAAAGTGCAAAATCATCTGTCATACACAGATGGGTAATACGGTAATCTGATAGGGAAGTAAAGTAAAATTGATCACTATTTTCGTGATATCATGAATGGTTTTACAAAAATTTACTTCAATTAGAGTGAAATATTGATCAATAAATAAGTTTTATTATCAGAGACAAGAGATTTCTTCCCGTCCTTTATTTTACATCATGTAGATTCACTAGACATGCAAGAATAAGGACTAACATTATAAAATATTGATAGGTGGGAATTAATGGTAAAACTGTTTTGTTCACCAATGGAATGTATATCACATATTGTCAGTAGATATAATAAGGCCAATATAGGTTATGTCTCTGTTTAACAGGACTATTTCAAAAAATCACAAAAAGACAAACACACAGTGATACATGTAAATATCACTAATAATTTTATGGAAAAATTCAAAATTGCTGCCCCAGAATGCCCAAAACCTAATCAGATCTTGGCACTAGTCTCTTCTTGCATCAGTAAAAATTTCAAGTTGAGGTTTTCCTAGAATTTTGATGATTTAATTCATATAGCTCTCCCGCATGCCCACCTCCCTGCCCAACAACACAAGATGATGACAATACAATAATGTGTGCTATGAAAAAGTGCAATCAAAACTGTTAAAATGAAGTAAAATCATAAGACAAAAAAACAATAAAAACAACCAGAACAACGGCAACGCCAAAGCGTAGCGAATCCCATCGAACATTTTTCAAAAGGGGCACCTTCTACCAAAAGTGTCATTAGACAGTGTGCCATGCTTATAATATTCACATACCAAATATGAACAAAATCGCTCAACTACTTTTCGAGTTATAGTAAAATACGTTAAAATGGTGGCCATTTTGAAAAATGGCCGACTTCTACCAAAAGTCTCATTAGACAGTGTGCCATGCTTATAGTATTCACATACCAAATATGAACAAAATCGCTCCACTACTTTTCGAGTTATAGTAAAATACGTTAAAATGGCGGCCATTTTGAAAAATGGCCGCCTTCTACCAAAAGTGTCATTTTACAGTGTGCCATGCTTATGCGTATTCACGTACCAAATATGAACAAAATCACTCAACTACTTTTCGAGTTATAGTAAAATAAGTTAAAATGGCAGCCATTTTTCAATATGTCCGCCATTTTTCAAAATGGCCGCCTTCTACCAAAAGTGTCATTAGACAGTGTGCCATGCTTACAGTATTCACATACCAAATTTGAACAAAATCGCTCCACTACTTTTCGAGTTATAGTAAAATACGTTAAAATGGCGGCCATTTTGAAAAATGACCGCCCTCTACCAAAAGTGTCATTAGACAGTGTGCCATTCTTATACGTATTCACGTACCAAATATGAACAAAATCGCTCCACTACTTTTCGAGTTTTAGTAAAATAAGTTAAAATGGCGGCCATTTTTCAAAATGTCCACCATTTTTCAAAATGGCCGCCTTCTACCAAAAGTGTCATTAGACAGTGTGCCATGGTTATAGTATTCACATACCAAATATGAACAAAATCGCTCCACTACTTTTCGAGTTACAGCAAAAATCGTAAAATAACGAGTAAAGGCCGCCATTTTTCAAGATGGCTGCCATGTGCTTTTTTAATATCTACATTTCTAGCTTTATTAATGTCCTATATAGTTTTTTTTACATTTAAAACATATTGCTATTACAGTTTTACATATTGCACCTAAATTACTGTAAAATCGGCACTAAAATGGCCGCCATTTTTAAATGAGTGGCCATTTTGAAAATCGGCTTTCGAGCAGAACTTCTACCCCCATAGGGTATATGTGTACAAAATATGAATAAAATCGGGCCAACGGTATTTGAGTTATTGCCTGGACGGACGGACGGACGGACGTACGTACGTACGTACGGACGGACGGACGGACGGACGGACGGACGGACGGACGGACGGACGGACGGACGGACGGACGGACGGACGGACGGAGGCGTTCCCTATATCCCTCTGAACTTCGTTCGATGGGATAATAAAGAATTGATCATGTAGGTTTTTGATAACCAGAGACAGACATAACTAAACAAACATTGAATCTGTAATAGCCTAAATAATATACACGGAGCCCATGTCAAGCTGCGCGCCTACTTAGGCGCGCAGTTTGTTTCGTCCACAAACTGCGTGCCTAACAACATTGCATCATTCAAGTTGGAGTCTGAATTTTGAAACGTAATTTTAAGACATTTATCCTGCATTGTTTTCTTGTTTAATACGTTCATTCTGTGGCGAACATACGAATCTTGCGAATACTAGCAAAAACTATGTACAAATGGATCGAAGTTTTAAAACATAAGCAGATTAATGGCATTTTCGTCACAGATTTAAAGGGAATTTATACGTAAATTGATCTAGCACTTTAAATATAAATGATAGATACTTCAGACTCGTTTCATATTTAATTCCTTAAGCATTTATCATGTATAGTTCAAAATATTTCGAGATAAAACAGATAATCAGGAGATTAAAAGGAAATAAAGCACAAACTGCGCGCCTATTTTAGCCAGGAAATTTCAAACTGCGCGTATACGTCACTATCAAAACTACATATTATCATTGGAATTTCTACAGAGGCAGGTGTGTTGGTGTTTTTCATATAGATTTGGAAATTTTCCTTTATCGTCAGATTTTATGAGATTTTCATATTGAAATTCAAAATGTATAATAGAAGTAACAATTAAACTTTTATTTCAAGATCATCATCTTGGTGGATGGACTCACATAATATTTCAATTATGGGGTTCTACTATTAGATACATATGTGGCTTACAAATGGCGCTTACGTTTTCTAATAATACAAAACAAGCTTGGATAGGCAAGCATATTAGGCACGCGGTTTGGGAAATACATGTGAATATAGGCGCGCAGTTTGACAAGAAAAATGTTTAAATCACGTTTATGGCGTATTATCGTTTTGAACACAAACTATGCTGCTTTAATCAGATGGAGTGATCCTATATATTCTAGCATACACAGACTCAATGGCTGAATAAACGGCTAATGACGATAAAAAGACATAGATATAACTTTACACTGTAAATTTTGAACACAGAAGTTACTTAAGACCCTTATATTGAGATAACCAGGTTTACATCGGGAACAACATTGAGTACTATGAGTAAATTAAGTTCATCTTCACAGAATGGTACTATCTTTAGAACGAGACTAACCTTGTATTTTCCGTATTTTGGCTCTTTTTGGGAGTCG